CTCTATCGCCTTCCCAACCCTAATCTGCAAGCTTTTCGGCTTCGACGACTCCAATTCCTGCCCTAGACCTCCCAATTCATCCAACGGTTGGATCGATACCGTCATTACTTCCAACGATTCCGATTTAGCCAATCGGATTTTCTCTCTTCTCGCCCCCGATGGCACTCTCCTCAATTCCATCTTCGCCGTTGATCACCTCTCCCTCGTTAAATACGTCTTCCCTTCCGAGCGGTTGCCAGAGTGGTCCCGTTTTCTGCTGTCCAGCCATAAGGATTCCGGCGTCTTATCGGACTTGTGTCCCTTATTCAGAGGGAAAGTAAAACAAGACTCCATCAAGGGTTCTTCCCATCAATTCCAGCTTAATGTGTTCGAGTATTACTTCTTGTGGTTTGCTTATTATCCGGTTTGTAAGGGAAATAGTGAGGTTTCGGATCATGTTTCGGTCAAGAGAGCTCGAAGGTTTAGGTTAGAGAATTGGACCTCGTCGATTCCGGGTTTTTCAAACCCTAAGCGCGGGGTAGAACAAAAAACGGAGTGTAATCTGTACTCACGGCTTCTCTTTGCTTATCTTCGTGCATTTGTGCCTACATATGATCTAAATGCGCACCAACCATATCGTAGTTCACTTCTTCATTATGCTTCGGGTTATGATGGTACAGTCATGTTGCGAGCAGAGTTTTTGATTGATACTTTCATACATTTTTGGCTGGTGGATAATGATTTTTCTCCCTTGCCTGTGAATGTGTGCAAGTCCTTTGGAGTATCATTTCCATTTCGTTCAGTCTTAGGGGAGACTCCTCCAACCCCTGGGTTGGGGGAGGTGGTTAAATTGTTTGTGAGGTACTTGAATTGCAGTACTTTTGCAGCCTTTGAAGGTCATGAGAGTGGTGAATATCGTGGGAGTCCTAGACAGAGGACTGTCGGTTCATTGGATACCATGAAGTCAAAGGATGTAACATCTAAGTTCCCTTCTGTGCATTCACTTGGATATTGGAACCCAAGGATACAGCGACCGCTATACCGGTTTTTATTGAGGACGTTTTTGTTTTGCCCAGTGGCAACTTCCATTAAGAATGTTTCTCAAGTGTTTCATGTTTGGATTAGTTACATGGAACCTTGGACAATAAACTCGGATGATTTTTCTGATCTAAACGCAATTACCACTGGACCTGCTACGAATGAAAGGAAGGAGAACTCTCTGTCTAGAACTGGAGTCTATACACCTCAGTGGCAGGATTATGTTCTATCAAACTACTTATACTACAGCTCCTTGGTTATGCATTTTATTGGATTTGCTCACAGGTTCCTTCACAGTGATGCGGAGATAATAGTCCAAATGGTCCTTAAGGTGTGCTTCTTTATTACACAATCACATTCTTTTTCTTTCCTTTTTTCTCATATTATTCCCAATCATTGGGAACCTGAGGTATTTGGTTTTTTTTTTTTTTTGGTCCCCCTTCCCCGTTTGCCAGGGTGAGATTTGATGTTCAAGGTTTTCAGATTTCTTATATGATCTACCCCAATGCATTTCATAGACTGCGTTCTGTCCTGCATGAGTCACAGTGTCAGCTGTCAAGTATTTCTCAAAATCTACTTCATTTATGAGTTATATCCTTGGATTTCTTCCGAAAGTTTTAGAAGTTACTATCTGAATGTTCTTCAATTCGTTTTAGAAAATTTCAAGACCAGTGTTGGCTTTAAAATGAAACCTTTGGCATGCTTCATTAACCCATGATTTTCTAAGCATGAAGATTACGGGGGAAAAGTGAGGAATGCCTTGAGTTTTTCAGTTGCATCTCAATTTGGGGATATTAATCTTCAGATCGTGATTTAATGGTGTTGAAATAAATATCTTTATTTATTTTCTTAAAAAAATTTTGTAACTTCCCCTCAACACTATCCGATTACAATCTAATGGTTAATATTTGTCAATTGAGTGGATCCAAAGCCCTACTGAGTGTGATGAATTCTTTTTTGTTTTGTTTTGTTTTGTTTCTTTTTGGGTTTTGCATTGGCGTGGCCGCATGGATTTAACATTAATAGGGGAAGCTAGTCTTGTGGGAGGGGAATCCATTCTACTAAGGACATTTGAATATTTGCTTCCTCTAACTCCAGTTTCAAGGTCATCACCCATCCTCCTCTTGGGCAGTGCTGTTCCTGTTGGAGCTGTTATTATATTTCTGGAAAACCAGCCTGTGGAATTTTAGTAAAAAGAAATTGTATCAAATTATGTTTGACACTTTATGATGTGTCCTTCTTTCTTTGTTTTTTTATTTTTTTTTGGGGGGTCTGATGGGATGTGCCATCAAGATCTTGCTATTATGTCTAAAGTTCTTGTCTTTGTGAAGCATAAGGCTTGATTCTCTCTTAAGTTATTATCATATTGAATATTTTTAGTTTTTTTTTTTCATTCTTGTATGAAAAAAATAATTTTTAATGTTTTATCAGATGTTAGACACCTTGACATCATCAAAAGAGCTTATTGACCTTTTAAAGAAAGTGGACACCCTTTTCCATTCCAGACCGGCAGGACCAAGCAAATCAATGCCGATTAACTTGTACAGATATATTCCCATTATATGCGAACAGCTGCAGGCAAGTTATTTCTTCTCTGGCTTAAGTTATTTAGTAGCATTTATCTTCCGCTTAAATGTTTATTATTTTGAGTACCTCCGATTGTGTTCTCCACTCTTTAGGTTTATTCTATGTTTGATATGGTTAACTATAATCTCTTCTTCCTTATATATTTTGGGGCATAAGTTAATGTAGTTTTGAATCTTGGCACAACTTGATCAGTTTTGAAATTGGTTCATTGTCAGTTTGGGTGTATTTGTAAATGCTTCTGTTATTAATAAGTAAGAGGCTTGAGCTTAACTTAGGTACTGGTTATTTCTAGGACTGGGAGGATGGCTTATGTGAGACTGATGCTGATGGCTCATTCTTGCATGAAAATTGGAACAAAGATTTGCGATTATTTGCTGATGGAGAGGATGGTGGACAACAGCTACTTCAGGTTCGTTGTTATCTTGTGCCCGTATAAGTTTATCTTTCTTACTCCAGTGATCATTTTGGTGTTTGCCATTGCAGTTGTTTATATTGCGTGCGGAAGCTGAGTTGCAGGCAATGTCTGGGGATAATCTTGTGCCCAGCCTCCAATGCATAGACTCATTAAAAGCAAAGCTGGGGTTCATATTTGATGGTCAAATTATCAAGTCATCTTCAACCGTACCAGAACCAAGGCAGCATCAACAATCTCATGATGAGATGTTCAAGCCAAGAGCTGGCAAACATGCATTTACCGATTTTAAGTACAGAGGTGACTGGATGAAACGTCCCATATCCAACGATGAGATTGCGTGGCTTGCAAAACTGCTTGTTCGGTTGTCTGCATGGTTGAATGATATTCTTGGACTGAATCAAGCAGAGAGCAGTCGAGTGGATTCTACATGGTCCTATGTGGAGGTAACAAGTGATGTCGCGCATGTATGGGGACCGTCAGAGGCCCTGAAAGTGTTTTTCTGTGCTGTTGGTTCTTGGTTTCTTTTCCTGGGGGCCGCCTCTCTTGGACTAATGAGAAAATACGGTCTAAGGATAAACCTAAGGATTTTGGCCTCGAAGAAGGTCATGATGGTTTTGATACTATACGCTACTTTTAGCGTCTTAAAGAAACTTGTTCGAGCGTTTTAAAACTGGTAGGGATAATGCATATGGAATATACAGAGGGTGTATAGAGAAGTGTAGAAAATTTGGAGAGAATGTTTTCCTTCAAGGATTTTGTGTATAATGTGTTCCTGCCTTTGTAATTTACAAGCTATGTCACCAATACGAAAATGTTTTCCAGCATTCTGCAATTAGATTTGCGATTTAGTGGCATGAAGTCTGGATTATTTTTACACCTGTCATTATAAACGCGCCATAGAACCAGTAAAATATCCAAAATTATTTTACTGGGTAAGTAATGGATAAAAAACTTCAATTGTTTTAATTTGATTAAAATATATCGAGCATCTAGACTTAAATATCGAAGTTTTTTTTTTTAGTAAGTTATCAATATTCTGGCCAAAAAAAGTTTTCGATAAATATATGACTAGTATAATTTTCAAGTTGTAGGTACCATTTTTGTAATTTTGTTCCTTCCTTGTATAAGGAAAATGTTAGTATTTACTTGCCCTGAGGATGAACGCGGATTGGTTGTTACTTGTTGGATAGGGACAAGGTCGGGCACCTCACCCCCCTGGCATGGTTGAAAATGGAGTTCTTACGATGGCGCAGTCTCGTAATTGTTATTCATTTGTTGCTTCGGAAAAATTACACGGCGGGGATAATGCCATTATTGAAGTTTTACTCTCCCAGTGCCCTGAAGCCTCCCTTCCAGATAATTCAGGCCGAATTACGGCTTATTGATGAGCCCAAGAACCACAGCTGAGTAGATGTGAAATTTTAGTACAGTAGAAATGTCAAAATTTCGTTGCTTGAAAGTATGACTCATTCATGAGGGTAAGATTCCCGCCATTTCTGCGCATTGTTGCTGATGTTGGTATAAAAATTATTGTTGGGATGGGAGGCCAAGGGTTGATCCAGTTGTTCTCGGAAGGTGGAAGCCGGGACAAATGTGGTCGTTAGCTGCTCTCTGCCCAAAACTCCCTAAACCATAATTTGCAGTACATCACGTTTTGAACTGATTAAACTAGTGTCGTGGGCGAACTCGTGAGTGTCAGCCGTGTTCTGCTCTTGGTATCGGAGATATTGTGATTCAGACTGAAATGAATAATCCTATTTGGTTCTTGAAAGCTGGAAGAAGATCTCAAATGGAGGAAGTTGGATAAATAAAAGGGTACAATGGGATATCAATCTGTTGATTTTGATTTTTAGTAAATAAATATCTTCTGGTTTTCAAAAGTTACGTGTTTAAATTATTTGATCTCTAAATTTAAAGAATGTACCATTCAAACTCGGAAAAAAATTGCAACTTTTAGTTTTCTATGAACCAAAAGAAGAAGAAAAAAGAAGAAGATAAACGTACATGTTTGATGAACTAATGAAGGGCAACAAAACATTACACTACAAAATTAAAAAGAGGTGAAAAAGAAAATAAAAACAGTAATGTACCAATGGCAAATCAATAAAAATACATTTGTTTTGTCAACATATTATGGAGAGATGTCTCAGAAAAGACAGTTCATATATCAAGAATTCATACTTCGAAAGCAAGAGGAGAAATATGACCACAGAGATGATCTTCAGCATGTTGGTAGCAGTGCTGCCTGGGGAAAAAAAAAACTAGAAATTTAGTAACCATTAACACGCATAGCTACAAATATCAAGATTAGAGAGAGACTAAATAAACGAAAAGTTCCTTCCTTCTCATCATCAACAAGAAACTCTTCACTCAAAGCATCAAGCAGACACACAACAGCTATATATCATCTGTTATCGTATCTGCCAGCTTCTAAGATGCCCAGCACAAAGCAAGACACAGCCTACGAAGAAATAACCAGATAATAGGTGAATTCACAACTTCCACCCAATCCAAGCAGCAGGGCACATTGGAACCACCATTATCACAGCAACATACAGCAAGCTAACTCGTATAAAAGGATATCTCTAGCACCAAAGAACATGCAGACATCTTAATGGTTTCAGATGCATAAAAAAAAAAAAAACTAAACAATAAACAGAACAATTAAAAGAATCACTTTCCAAACCCCACCGCAAGAATGAGATCTCAACAACGATAGCTTAAGATCAACATAAAACAGAGCAGAATACTTGAATAATAGAACCTCGGTAGAGTTACCACTTAAATTCATCTCAGTGGTTTGCTTTGGCTTATTGACACAGCTCATATCTTATGTTGATTGCGCTCTTTCTTTGTTCCAGGTAATAGGCATCAGCACGTAAGAATAACATAATACATGGAACCATAAAAAAAAAAAAAACTCTCCCAGGTCATATTTATAAAACAACTTATAAAAGTAATTTTTGGTCTAAAATGTAAGATACTTTAAAATAATTAAACCACTTTTTCTCTGTTATTATTTCTTGATTAACATGAAAATATTTAATGTAGTTGTATCATTATTTAAAACCAAGGACAAAAATGAAAGTACACATTATCTTTTTATAATATCAAGAAACAAACTTAACTTTTCTGAAGATATGTGAAATGGTCGAAAGTATAAGGACTAGAAGGAGTATATTTTAGATTCTTTAAGTGAATAAAACATGATATCAATAACACGTTGAAAATCTATCTCTCTGAACAATGTTTCTGTTATGCTTCCTGCAGCTTAGTCTTCATAATCTCAATTACAACACGCCAATTATCAAACAGCTATGATTTATCTGCGTAGACATTTCCTACATAAAAGCCACGGAGGAATAGTATGAAAAGTAATTCTTTCTTTTCGGCAAAACAAGAAATCTTGAAAAATTTATCAGCACTCAAACATGGCCTAGTTATCTTTCACGTTTCATAATTTATTGGATTATGCAACTCGCTAGAGCATTATCAAATCATCCGAGTAAAACCCAGGCGTCATTGCTAGAAACAATCACAGATAAAAGCAAACTGCAAGCATCCAGAAGCAGCCCACTATTTTTGTTCATCATTTCCAATAGAAAAAAATAAAGAAGAATCTAATACCCCGCTTCAAGCCGAATTAGAGGGAATCATCCCAGTCTTTCTTGCATAAGCGAAAATCCCACCAGCCTCAATGACAGGTCCAGCATCGCCAATGGGCTTCAACTTGTACTCCTTTCCAGTCGAATGATTGATCAGTCGACTCTCGCCGAGCTCCACCGTAACAACGTCTCCTGTTTTACACTCCTCGCATATTCTCACCTCCGATTCCAACGGGTAAACTTCACCTGTGGCCACTGAATTTCTAAAAAATATTCGCGCATAAGACTCAGCCACCACAGCAGCTACACCAGAAGCGCCCAGCGCCACCGGAGCATGCTCACGAGACGAACCGCAACCGAAGTTGGATCCGGCAATGACAATTGAATACTTGGTTTTCATCTGGTCGGGCTCTATAAATCGAGTGGCGTAAGAAGCGGGCAGGCCAATAAGAGCATATGAACCAAGCTGTTCATACTCCTCGGGTTTAGAAGGGACTAGGGTTAAATACTCAGCAGGAATAATCTGGTCAGTGTCGATATTGTCACCGACGACGTAGCAGAGGCCATGAAAGGTTGTGGAATTGGCGGCAGAGGAAGGGGTAGGAGGAGGAGAAGCGCTCGCGCGTGAGACCAACGAAGCAGCTCGTGGAGCGAGCCCTGGAGTGTGGGTGGTAAAGGGCTTCGCTGCCATCGAAGTGGCGGGCAATCTAATGAACTGAAGATCAAACGAAGGTGCATGGGAAAAGGAGAGTTTGGGAGGAAAAAAACGGCTAAGTTTCTGAGATATACTTGCAGAGGTCGCCATTGTCAAATTCGGAGACGTTGGAGCTGGACTGTAATTAGTCAGAGTGCGTGTGAAGTGGAACCAAGCGAGGGCCGGCGATCGCTTTTGGGGTTGTTGGGTTTGGGGCTGGGGGGTGTTCCTTTTTAGACGAGGAGAAATTAGGCGATGGATGCTCGCCAGGTAGGGCCGTGCAGACGAGTAACTCCAGAAATTATTAAAAAAATAACCAAAATAAATAGTAAATACAATAAAGAACTCAAAAGGTACATACAATGGGCAACAAAGCTGCATAAAATGGCCGAAATTTTTTTTATTTAATCTTTTTTTGTTAGTTTTTATGTTATTTTTTTATCAACTGATAATTAAAATTAATTTTTATAAATGATAAGTTTCAGGCTGTATTGTTTTTAACAAATTGAGAGAATACTGTTTAAAATTTGTGAAATAATTTGTTCATTTACCTTTTTTTTTAAAAATTAATTTAATAAACTGAATGATATAAATTAAAAATATTTTTAAATATATAATTATTAAAAAAAATATTAATCTTACTGTATGTAACATCCGTTAAACTTTTTTCGGCCGACGTAATATTTGTTGAATAAAATTTGACACGTTGAACGGAAAAATAAATAAATAATAAAATATTGCTATGTGAAGTAAATCAAATGTACCTCAAGCATTTTCAGGTAGTGTTTAGACAATTAAGTTTCAACACGTGTTGGCTGTTTGTCTTGATTTGTGCGCGTTATCTTTTTTTTTTTTTCTTTTCTTCTTTTGAGTACAAGAGGCAAGCATAATGTTACGTACTTAGAGTTTGACACAACACACAGTACCTGTGCGGTATCTTGAGAATTTCATAATCCTCAGAACCAGCCTTATCACATACGAATACTACTGGTTTCACCCTGTCATGGGCTCATCAGGGAGGCGAAACTAGCCCCCAATCAATTATGCACTAAGCCCGAAGACTGAGGCAGAACGCACCCAAATGTCAATGTCGCCCCCTTTACCCATATTATACGAGGCTAACCAGTGGATTGTTCATTACATTAGTCTTTACACGGTCACAAAAATACCATTCATGACAGTAAGCTTGAGGAGATTACGAAATCAGTTCATGGAACAGAACGAAACAGCTTGGTAATGAGGCTTTGAATCTCTCTGCCGTGCAATAGATCCCTGCACTTGTTCGGAGCAGAATTCATAAGCACCACCTCGTGGCCCACACCATTGGCATTTTTCGCGAGGAAATCAGCCGCAACAATACTTTTGTGCAGGAGCTGTGTTGGTTATTTTTCTAAACTGACTTTCAGTGTAACCAAATACCATAACTCAAGCTCGTCCAAAAAAAATAATAATAATAATACAAGCCAAGCAATGATTAGCTAAAATTAGTTTGGTGAAAGTATTTTTTAAGTTACTAAAAGCTGAATCCAAACAGGCAATGAGGCAAACATAGCCGTGCGCTTGCTAGGGCCTACATTTCCTGTTACCGGGACAGCTGAATGCGCATAAATACTCTCATTTTAATCGAGGTTACGAAGTGGAAGCTGCTAGAGATGGATAAATTCCAGTTCCAATCACTTTAAGTTATCGAAAGAAAAAACTATCTAAAAGGCTGGGACTGTTAAGCTTCTTCACAGGTAGTAAGAATTAGCTAAAATTAAAATGATATTCTTGCTTTCCATAGTTTTTTAAAAAATGTCATGTTAATTTATAATTATGTAAATCAATATTTATATATTTTTTAAATTTTTTAAGGATTTAGCTATTATTATAATTCAATATTTTGAGACTTAAATGTAATTTCCCGAAAACATAAACATGCAAACGAAAACCCTCCCTTTTTCTTTTTTCTTCAGACCCACAAACGAAGCCCAACTATGTCAAGTTCGGGCGGGCTCTCCACCCGGAGATCCGACCTGCAGGGAAGGGGAAAAACCCACCCTTTTTCTTTTTTCTTCCGCTGGGTTTCCCAACTTCTCATATCGACTCCCTGCTGTTTATGGTCATTAGACGCCTCCATCTAAGGTAAATCCCTATCTCAATCTATCCTAAGTTTCGAGCACGAATGATACGTGGACGAAAAAATTCTTCAGTTAAAGCCATGGTCTGTGCTTACTTGGTCTTTGCCACCAACTGATTGCTGCCATCTTCTACTCCACTGAAGGGCAGATCTAACTCTGTTCAGTATACTGGGTTGTTTATTGAAATAGTATGTTTTCCACATTAGCGACTGTGTGTTCCCTTTTTTTTTTTCAATGCTAAATGGCGAGTGGGGAATTTTTGCCGAAGTAACTGTAAAGGTGAGCTTCGAATGGTGAGGAGGAAAGGAGTTGCATGGAAATTGTTTTTAGTTGGTAAAGGGAAGCGAATCTTCGGTCAAAGTAATATTATATATGCAGGAAATTCCTCAATGAATATCATTTTTTTTTGTTTTAAATTTTTCATGATCTGGGACTGAGAGATGTCAATTGATTGGGCTTAGTGCTGGCCATATTTGCGGTATCGGTATGATACGGGACTATCTGATTAATTTCAGTTTAGTAAGTTGATTTTCCGAGCTTGGCGGGAATTCAATGTTCTGGTGAGGCATTTGATTTGGTCATGGTTTGACTTGATGTTCTTGCAATCTTGGATAACTTTTCTATTTATCATGCAAATAAATGCTGAATAAGTACACTGATCTTCAGTATCATAAAAGAGTTGTATCTGTATGCTAGAGCAGGTAAAAGTGGAGATGAGTGCGGTGAAATTATCCATCTTTCTTGTGCAAATTGAATTTTTGTGAATTAGATGCACAAGTTTCTCCTTTATCAATAATATTTCTTTCAAATATGCTTTAATTCTTTCTTATGATATTATATTCAGCTGGATTAGGCATTTGGATCTGAATTCTATTCGTTATTTTGCTATCAAGTACTCCTCTGAGCTATAATTTTTGTGGCATAATTGTTTTGCTGCAGTTGCCGTCAAATTACGAGTATGGCGACTGAGAGTGGTAAAAGTTTTGCAAGGAGGGACCGATTGCGAGAGATTGAGGTCATGGTTCGAAAATGGTGGGAAGAAAAAGATGTTTTCAGGGCTGAACCTTGTGAGAAGCCTCCTGAACCAGGCGAAAAGTTCTTTGGCAATTTTCCCTTTCCTTATATGAATGGATACTTACATCTTGGGCATGCATTTTCACTTTCAAAACTGGAGTTTGCTGCTGCTTATCATAGACTGAGAGGTGCCAATGTGTTGTTGCCATTTGCTTTCCATTGCACTGGTATGCCCATCAAGGCTTCAGCTGATAAACTTGCAAGAGAGATTCAACAATTTGGAAATCCACCTGTCTTTCCTAGTGAAGCAGAGGAACAAGAAGATGAGCCTTCAAAGAATGTCGATAACAGTGGAGGGGCAGCTCCAGATAAATTTAAAGGAAAGAAGTCCAAGGTTGCTTCAAAATCAACTGGACAGGTCTTCCAGTGGGAAATAATGCGCAGCTTTGGCATATCTGATAGTGAGATATCTCAATTCCAGGATCCTTATAAATGGTTGGCTTACTTTCCTCCACTGGCTGTTGAGGACCTTAAGGCATTTGGGTTGGGTTGTGACTGGAGGAGGTCCTTCATCACTACAGATATGAACCCATATTTTGACTCCTTTGTTAAATGGCAAATGAGGAAGTTGAAATCCATGGGCAAGGTTGTCAAAGACATTAGATATACAATATTTTCTCCCTTGGATGGCCAGCCTTGTGCAGATCATGACAGAGCAAGTGGCGAAGGAGTTCAACCTCAAGAGTACACTATCATAAAGATGGAGGTCCTTCAACCTTTCCCTCCAAAGTTTGGAGTGCTGGAGGGAAGAAAAGTATATTTGGCTGCTGCAACATTGAGGCCTGAGACTATGTACGGGCAAACTAATGCATGGGTGTTGCCGGAAGGAAAGTATGGAGCTTTTGAAGTCAACGAAACTGATGTGTTTATTCTCTCAAAAAGAGCTGCCCTTAATCTCGCCTATCAGAACCACTCACGAGTCCCTGAGAAACCCACTTGCTTGCTTGACCTGACTGGTTATGACTTGATTGGCTTACCATTGAAATCTCCTCTTTCATTTAATGAGGTCATTTATGCTCTTCCAATGTTGTCAATTTTAATGGATAAAGGTACTGGGATAGTTACTAGTGTGCCTAGTGATGCCCCTGATGACTACATGGCCTTGCATGACTTGAAGGCAAAACCAGCATTCAGAGCAAAGTATGGTGTCAAGGATGAATGGGTATTGCCCTTTGAAATAGTCCCTATTATTGAAGTTCCGCAGTTTGGAAATAAGTGTGCAGAGGCAGTTTGCTTGCAGATGAAAATAAAAAGTCAGAATGAGAAAGAAAAACTTGCAGAAGCCAAGAAGCAAACATACTTGAAAGGATTCAATGAGGGAACAATGATCGTTGGAGAATTTTCAGGAAAGAAAGTTCAGGAAGCCAAACCATTGATTAGAACTAAACTTTTAGAGACAGGTCAGGCTATTATTTACAGTGAACCAGAGAAGCAGGTGATATCACGATCTGGTGATGAATGTGTGGTAGCTCTTACAGATCAATGGTACATTACGTATGGAGAAACAGAATGGAAGAAGCTGGCTGAAGAGTGCCTGTCCAGTATGAATCTTTATTCTGATGAGACACGACATGGGTTTGAGCATACTTTGGACTGGCTGAATCAGTGGGCTTGCTCACGATCATTTGGTCTGGGGACCCGGATACCATGGGATGAACAATACCTAGTTGAGTCTCTATCTGATTCCACTCTTTATATGGCTTACTACACTGTTGCTCATCTTTTACAGAATGGAGACATGTATGGGTCAGGTGAGTCTCGTGTTAAACCTGAACAAATGACTGATGAGGTTTGGGAATATATATTCTGTGGTGGATCATACCCTAAATCAACTGATATCTCTTCATCTATTCTCCATAAAATGAAACTTGAGTTTGACTATTGGTATCCCTTTGATCTCCGGGTTTCTGGTAAGGATCTGATCCAGAATCATCTTACCTTTTGCATTTACAATCATACTGCAATTCTGCCCAAGCATCACTGGCCTCGTGGATTTAGATGCAATGGCCACATCATGCTGAATTCTGAGAAGATGTCTAAATCTACTGGAAATTTCAGGACTTTGCGTCAGGCGATTGAGGAGTTTTCTGCTGATGCTACACGATTCTCTTTGGCTGATGCTGGTGATGGTGTTGATGATGCAAATTTTGTGTTTGAGACTGCAAATGCTGCAATTCTCAGGCTTACCAAAGAGCTTGCATGGTATGAAGATGTTTTAGCCTCTGAATCATCAATGAGAACTGGTCCTCCATCTACTTATGCTGATCGTGTGTTTGCCAATGAAATAAATATTGCTGTCAAGATAACTGAGCAGCATTATAGGAATTACATGTTCCGAGAAGCTCTCAAGACTGGCTTTTATGACCTTCAGGCTGCTAGGGATGAGTATAGATTTTCATGTGGAGTTGGAGGTTATAATCGGGAATTAGTGTGGCGCTTTATGGATGTTCAAACACGTCTTATAGAACCTATATGTCCACATTATGCTGAATATGTTTGGAGAGAGCTTTTGAAGAAGGATGGTTTTGTAGTGAATGCAGGCTGGCCTTCTGGGGATGCTCCAGATCTTACCCTAAAGAGTGCCAATAAATATTTGCAGGACTCAATTGTTTTGCTGAGGAAGTTGCTTCAAAAGCAACTTTTGGGTTCAAAGAAGGCCAATAAAACAGGTGCTCAAGTCGCATCACTGACGGACAGCAAGTTAACTGGCTTGATATATGTGAATGAACAATTTGATGGTTGGAAAGCTGAATGCCTGAGGATTCTTCAGAGCAAATTTAATAATGAAACCCGTGCTTTTGCTGCAGACGGAGAGATTATTCAGGCTTTACAAAAGAGTTCTGTTGGTCAGTTGTCCAATTTTAAACAAATCCAAAAGCTTTGTATGCCTTTCTTGAAGTTTAAAAAGGATGAAGCAATTGCACTTGGGGCTCGGGCTCTGGATCTGAGATTACCATTTGGTGAGATTGAGGTTCTTCAGGAAAACCTGGACTTGATCAAGAGACAGATAGGTCTTGAAGATGTGGAAATTTTGTCTGCAGCAGATGCTGATGCTGTGGCTAAAGCGGGTTCTTTAGTTTCTCTTCTAAACCAGAATCCTCCATCTCCTGGAAGCCCAACGGCTATTTTCTTAACTAGGTAGCTCCTGTATGAGTTTTAGGACATCGATTTGTTTTGCTATAAAAACACGGGATCATACCTTTTCCTTTCTTTATATGCTGTCTCTGGATTGACTTACGGAAGCTTGGTTTTTGTTAAGTTTATGCCTTGATTGAGATTTTTTTTTACTCCTGCTATTTGTTTGTCAGTTGTCATTCTGTTTGTTTGTGCATCTGTTCTTTCATTACCTAACTGAAAGAGCTGAGCCCTTGTAACAGTAAAGGAGTGCTTCCTTCATCCTTTCACTAATTTCCTTGTTCATATTTGGAACTCTGGATGGGCGGTGCCCATATTTTTCTGAGCCATATAGAAGAGTATGACTGCAGATTAAGGACAAGTTCAAGTAAATTAACTTGCGTCTTTTGTCTTGTGGTTACATATTTGTGTATTGGTAGCCAATCCTATCTAATGGGATAAGAATTGTTGTGGTATTGCAATTAATGGTGATGTCTTCCATTAGGAACTAGTATATTTGATTATGTTCCTGCCCGTCTGAGTAAAAAATTTCGTGACTGATTATTACTCAAGCTAAAAGGCTGTGGGCCTGCTCGGGCAAAGTGTTTTGACCCAAAATTTTGTGATTCTGCTCGGATTATAGAAGTCCATACATTCATTTTATCTAAATGGATGGTAGGCTGATTTGAATGATTGATTGGAAAGTAAATAAAGTTATACTGAAAAAAAAATATGGGAGAATAAAATCTTTGGTCTTTTTAGTTTCATTAAATTTTACTTTTAATTTTTATCGTTATTTCCTAATGTTTTCAATTTTTTTATAAAGATATTGAAAAAATTGAAATTATAGAGATCTAAAAAACCAATATCATCAATCTTTTTTTTTTTTCAAAGGAAGATTATGTAAAAAAATAACATTACTATAGGGATTAAAAGCAAAATTTAATAAAATTATAAGGATTGATAATTGTGTTTTTCCAAAATAAAAATAATTTAGAAATATAGCAATGCTTGTTAACATTAATGAATAAATATGATTTTAATTGATTCGCCAAAAAAGAAAATGATTTTAATTGTGTTTGGCTTGTATTTCAAGGATTTCTGTTACCGCATTATTTAGGGAAAACTATATTGGCCTATAACTATTTTTAATAGCGGATCAAACAAAATTTCTAATTCCACTATATTTTCTGCCGACAAACGTGCTAATGAAGTTATAATGCATTTATTTACTTCTGTTTTTCATATGGATAACCCTTTTCTATAGGAAAGGGTGACTTGCACGCACGTTACACACTATATCACCTGGAGGTTTGATCCCGCGACCTTTTCATGGAGTGTGGGGTGCTATTTGAACTGTAAGTTCAAGGCAATACTATGTCATGTGAATTATTATTAATTAATTATTACGTTTTCAAATCGATACAACACTTTCTATCGATTCTTCCGTCGAAATAGTGGTCATTTCCGCAAACCGGGTTGCTTGATTTGAGATTCTTCAGAAATTGCGAAGTCAAGTTTTCGCGACTTTAAAATAATAGTTCTTAGGGGAACTGTGTCCTCCGCCGTTTTACTCGCCATCTGCAGAATTTTTCTTGGCTAACACGAGACCAAAAGAGGTTCAAGAGCGTAGACCACTGGTATGGTAGCCAGTCGAAGTCAATACTAGAGCCTGTCCTTGATGTAGCATTCCTTAAGATTTTGCAATGCTTGCCGAATAGTATCGTCGTCTTGATTGGAATATTTTAGGCATAGCAAGCGTTGTGCAGCAAGGTAAGCCTTCTGAATAGGATGGTACTGGAGGCAGTTGACTTCCATTCTCTTTACTTCCTGAACATGCATAGATAGCAATAAAACCTAGAATCTCTATTGTCCAACCAAGGGGGAGTCGGATTTGAAATTTCTGTGTGGTGTTTTTCTAATTTATGCACCAAGGCTAAATTGTATCTCAATTAAAAATGCAGAGATTTAGTTAACTTCCTATTCTAAACTACTTTGCGAATAATCACCTTTTCTGTAATCTTGAATGTGATCATTCTGGCAGTTTCAATGACGGAACTTGGTAAACCAGCCATTTCTGCTAAGAGAAGGCCATAGTGTGGGACATGTCTTGGCCCTTCCTTAAGTTGGAACTACGGAAAGCAGAACGTTAGCTTGCAGATCATCAATTCAGAGCTTAGTGTAAGAACAGAGAAAGAGATCTACAACCTTGAAATCTATATGGCTGTTTTTCAAGTCAACATGAAAGTGAAGAATTTTCACGTTCGGATAGACTGTTGCTAATTCTGACAGGTTTTCCATATGAGTAGCAAATATGGTATAACTGAAGGAGAAAAAATATATATAACTTGGTCAATCAATGAACATCAGTATTAAGTTTGTTTCATAGCTGGTGAATGCATGCAGAAATCACTGTGATAAAATTAACAGGTCTATGAACATGAAAATGTGAATTCCGTGCTACAAATGTTGAAGTAGCCCTCCCAAAGTCATCCATAAGGAATATGAAGAGTAACCTTCATTTTATCAGTTATCAGAAATCCATGGTAAAAAAAAAAATCAAGAGACAAGTTCTTGTTGATTTATAATTTTATGATAATTGAGAATCAAGAAAAAAATTACGCTTTAAGTGACAAAAGATGCTCGCAGCAGCTCCATGCAATTGCAAAACCATCAGAGGAAGAAGTAGCCCTCCCAAGCTCATCCATGACAATTAGACTTCTGCATCCAACAAATTATTTAGGCAAAAACCACATGCCTACCCAGAGGGATAAAGATTAATAACTACCTTTGCAAGACATTCTGCATGATAAAAGCTGTCTCTTTCATCTCCGTCATGAACTACACATCCAGACAACTTCATATAATTACATAAAGAGCCTAGGAATATGACTTTGCCACGGAAAGTCAAGGTCTAACTTTAAACGACGTTATCCAAAGAGAAGAAATACAGAAAAATAGCTTAATTGGAGGCGCCGCATTGTACCGTGCTTGAGTTTGATTCGAGATTATCAATTGCACCCATCCTAGTGAACATCCTATCAACAACCCTCAGAGTTGAGAAGCGAGCAGGAACATAACATCCAACTTGAGCAAGAATAACTATAAGGCACACTTGTTGAAGGTAAGTACTCTTTCCGCTCCTGGGACACAACATCACCATTGATCAGCTATAGCAGCTCACATTGGAGATTTTCGCAATCAAACAGATGTAATTTTATCATTTCCTCCACCAATACTCTCTCCTGTAACAGTAAATTTTATCTTTATCTTTTAATTAGAATTGATCTTACATATTGGGGCCTGTGACGATCACCATATTTGAGGCTTCAGATAGAAATATATTATTGGCCTGCAAGGAGAAAGGTTGGCTCATTTACCGAAATAACAACGTGAAGGTTTTCATGCATGAAAGAAAGAAAGAAATAGAAACTTATATGGATTACAAATTACAATATACCCAGTACGTACAACGAAGTCATTGTGTATACTTTCGAGGATTGGATGTTTACCAGCATCAATTGCCATTGGTCCATTTTCTAGTAAGTAAATTATGGATTAAGAGTTTTGCTCGCGGAGCTATCAGAAAGTACAAAAATGTAAGATAGATCTTACCAATTCAATTACCTGTAAACTCTGGCCTTGTATAACTATCAACAGGCTTGGTTGATATCATATGAGCAAATGAATTTACAATCATATCCAACAGGCATAAGACCTCAGCAAGCATTGTCAACACAGAGACATTCTCGCGAATGGCATCCATAAGCTCTGTAAATTTTTTCAATTACAATTTATTTCATTTCAAAGACTACCGGACCACCAAAAAGATACGAAATATTGTACAAGTCCAAAGAAAGCAACAGGTAATATCTACTTCTTGGGACAAAAAAGGAATCTATTCGTTCTAATGTACTTTAAATTTTTAAGTTTAAGAAACAAGATCAAATTTATCTTGTAAACATGCTTGACCAGCGTCACAAATTGTTCGTTTAGGATTCCAACGGCAATTAAGAACACTATCATGGCCATGGTAAGTCCCACCCCCCGTCCAAAGGAAAAAAAAAACGCACACAAAAGGGGGAGGATATTAAATTAACAATGGATTCAATTATACAAAAACATAATGAACCACTGCCGTCAAGACCGTGAGGATCTTTGCTGCCAGAATAATTAATACAACCTTCGAGGCAGACCTCTGTTCTTGTAAAGCATTCTGCGGCAGCAGATTTATTCCTAGCATTCAACTGCAAATTTCGAAGTGAGAGGAGAAAAAGAAAAGCTTCAAAGCCAGGACAAAACAAATAAAACTGCTTTTTAAAGTTTCATTTATTATCAGAATTTGCAAGGTTATGTTTTTCGGTTTGAAAGTCATTCAAGTCATGTTTTTTTGTGCCATCAGTTCAAGTCAATTTTTTACTTAGCATTTCCCTATAGTTTTCACCTCCAAAAATTTCCTGATGTTTTTTCTCATACAAGAAGTAAGAATCCCCTTAACGCTGGCAGAGGCCTGGTGGAAAAGGTGCATTTTGTTCTTGGATTCTTATCCATCGATTATTATCGTATTGAGACAAGATGATACCAAACTTTAGGTCTAGTAAGGAATTTCATGTAAGCTTAATATATGATAATTCATGGGAGGCCTATTTCCTCTTTTCTTCTGGGGGACGATATGGAGCACTACCCCTTATAATTGACTTGGCATGAGTCATTACTATGATCCCATCAAGTTTCAATGCACACACTTAGCTACTACTCGGACCAAATTACGTAGACTAACAAGAAAATTTTCGAGTTATGTGTGCCATGCATGGTCTTGTTCCCCAGTTCACCATTGTTGCGTGATACATAGGATCATATTTATGAATTCCACATGATCAAATTACTTACCGACGCAAGCTCCAAAGTGGAGCAATGTATGTTGTTCCCATGTATTATGACCTAACATAAGTCATCAGAGAATTAGCTCTGTTGAAAACAACTTCTAATAGGAATTTGTGAGGTGAGAGCATAGAAGATCCAGTCCCAACCTGAATGAACTTGCTATGAAGCTTTCCTTGAACATCTTTTTGCGGGATCACAAAGTAGAATCCCTGCCTGTTTTTAAAGACGAGTTTTAAATTGGGCAACTTGAAATCTTCACGATACTTGTTTGCAAGATTGTGGATAGCTGTCAACGTAATGCAAAATAAAATGCTTTAGAAGACCCTTATATGGCACACTGTATTCCAACTCAGATTATGTGATTGACGAGATAGAAAACTAAGGAAGACAAAAGGTATAAAAACCTTCACTGGTGTCGCAAAATGATCTCCGTGAAATATCCAAGAGACCATCAATCCCAGCCTTGACAGCAAAGCATTGCTGCGTTCGGGCAACAAAAGGAACCCGTGCATGGAGTACATCTTCATCAATAACCTCCCCAATCCTGGAGCAAAGATAATTCCTAAGTAATTGAGCGAAATGTTTCTATTGTCTGAGTTTAAAAAACATTGGTTTCCAAGGGATTCCTGATACTCTCAAAATCTAAGAAATGTTCTCGAATGTTCAGTCTAAAATAAGTAATTTGGATAATGTCTGGTGTATTAATTATTTTTTCCCGTTTTGCCATTGTAATTAAGAGGAGCATGTTCCATTATAATTAATGTTATATTAGAATTTAGTGTATTTAGCATGGACAGTAGTGGAAAGTATTCTTATTTTTTGACAAATTTCAAGAGTTAACCAACTTTTAACTCCATTTCTAGTTACATGTAACTAATATTTTTGGACAGGAGGAGTATTTTTTATCGCATTGATGGGGAGGATTGACTGATGCACTGACGTTCAGTGAATCAGGAAGAAGCAAAACGATAGTATTAATCAGCAATAATGTCAGAGAGGAAGCAAATATGGAGCAAGCTAAACTGTGTTATTGTCTTATAAAAGAAATTAAATTACCTATCATTTGATCCTGAATATTCAGGTCAGGTTAGAGGACTATATTTGTAAATATGAATCCATATGCAACCTTTCGGGTGATTTAAGGAATATAAGTAACGGTTGCATGCGCTCATAGGAAGAAAAAACTCTCATACCTTTTCCTAATACGATCATATTTCTCATTTTCACAAACTGACTTGTAGATATTTGACAGAAGAAAACTTTTGGCATCCTTTAGCACCTAGCATGTTCATCAAAAGAAAGGATCACTCGTAGCCTTTTATTTTGCTTTTATTTTCTCACTTTACGTGCGTGCACGCGTGCATGCATACATATACATGTGCGCGTGCGCGCTCCAAATAAAAAAAAAGAAAAGAAAAGAAAAGAAAGAAAAAGAGGTACCTTAGATAGTAATGGCAGGGCGTCCAAAGCAGTCTTAAGGAGAATAACGCTTGATACTAACACTTGACTCTTCTTAGCATGATCAACTACCAGGGATTCATTTGCAACTTTCTTTGGCTTAAAGCAGAAGTGACATAATACTCTATCTGAATTAAGAGCATGGTCCAGTCCGTCTGTATGTATAACCACCAAAGATGTATAAACTTTGAGACTAACTTTCGCTCAGTTGTGTTCCTACTTACCAGTCTCTTTTGGAAACTTGCGCAAAACCTGAGAGAGGCCAAAAAATAGCTGTTCGTCGCTCATCAGCTCATCCTAAAATGAAATATTGAAGACATGTTATGGATCTAAAGCTACTAGGTTTTGAGTCTAAATAATTATCACTAGTCTACTCTTGGGACTAATGAGATGGCATATAAAAAGCCATTTTAACTAAATAACTTATCAGTGGATCATTGCCAGTTGCCCGCATTTTCTTAGTCAAATGATGACGGGGATTTGACGTGGCATAGGGTACAATTATGTTGTATGAGGGTCCAGATGCTCATGTACACCAATGTTTCATCCTGATAATTTAAGATTTAAGCAGACAGACATGCTCAAACAAAGCCATGCTAGTGATGATGAAATCTTCCAATAGAACTTCATTATTTTCTCATCTTCTAATTTTCATGCCAACATTGACTGTAATGGTCAGGTTATGAGACTCAAAACTTATTAGATTATGGGAATTATTTAACCATGATAGTTCTCAGAACTGAATGTCTGAATTTCACCTTAATGATGCGGACAGGAGGTAATTATAAACTTGATATAAGAAATACGTCACTAGTAACACTAGATACAGTAGTTGAAGGACAACAAATAGTCCCTTCCTATGTTTACTGAATAAATTAGATTATAAGTAAATCAGCCTTATAAATGACGTGCTAACCACCATATAGCAGTCTCATTGTGCTAGGTATCAATTCAAGAGCGTACTCAGTCATGGTTAGAATAAGTAAGTTTGGTTTCAAGAAAATATTGAGAGAACTTTCCAAATTAAAAACTGTAAAGGAAACATTTAACAAGAAATATAAAATATAGACCCAAATAACACACGGACCAGGCAATCAAGGCGCGCATTAATAGTTTGAATGTCTTTTAGAGGCTGCAACAGATTAGCACGGAGAAGCCTAGTCCTGAAGGGGACAAATACATTGTCATAATGGTAATCCTGCATAAGCAAATTAGTATCATTCATCACATACCCTCCGATAGTTTTAGTTGTCCTCAGCATGTGAAACAGGCTTCTCTTTTTGTTGCTAGTTCCCAGTAGGGCAGAGTGAAATGGCTCAACAATTTCCAAATTTTGGATGCTGCCATCAAAATCAAACCAATATATCCATTTCAATAGACTTCAAACAGGTGCGATGTAAAATGCAGATATGCTCAATTTCTACTATGAATATGTCCATCTACTTGAACGAAGATATGCGAACCACAATCAATTGTTTACCCTTTTTAATATCAAAAATAAGCAACCCGGAAAAGTTGCGAACAAACATTTTCCAAAATGTATATAGACCTAAGACAATGATATAACGACATATTTGTGCGTCAAAGGATAAGTCTAAATGCTTTGCAAATAGGTCTCAGCAATACTTCATTTTAGTTAGACTTTCTCTTAAACCTAAATACTTAAAAGTCATATTTAGAAGTATTATCTATGACTATATATAAATTTCCTCCATCAAATACAATTGCTTCTTTTATCAGGAAGTCAAAAAAATGAGCATCCTTGGTTCATTGGTGATAAATGCAACATATACATGAGGTAAAAACATGAAGAAAGAGCAGTGGTACTCTCAACCACCCCCCCCCCCCAAAACAACAAAAATTGTATGCTGGCAGGCTAACCTGGTAGTGTCAATATTCATGTGATCAAATGATCCATTAAAGGTGACCTGAGATAGTGGTATGAATGATAAAGTGAGTTAAATCTGACATGCAAGAACTAAGAAGTATAACCGTGCAGGTCGAAATCTAACGGATACAGTACGGATTACTTCCTGAAAGTATCATAGAAGTTGGACACTGATCACTTTCCTAAGAAACAATAGCAAGATGAACCCAATTCCCAATTGATGGGAGACAATGATCAGAAGTTGATTATTAAGGACTTGCGGGGAAGTATTCAACTTGATAAAATTATCATCAGGAACAAGCATGCGCTGAAAGTTGAAACATTATATGCAGCGGCATTAATATTATGATAAATTTGACAAAAAATGACCAAGTCTACACATGGCCTATTGAGCAAACAGTCATGCGAGTATGGCTTGTAAATTGCATAGAACTTGAGCTTATTAGTAAGATGGTGATAAGATAAACCACAATAACTTGTAAGTTACGTCATAAAAGGTCGACCACATGAAGAACAATTGTGCCTACCGACAATGAGTGATTGGTAACAATAACTCCTTTCTCTGCTTCAGTCCTGTTGTACAGTAACAGAAATGTGGTCAAGAAGTTCCAAATAAGTAACATTAACATTAAATATATTAAATTTCATAATGAAACAATTACCACATAGCTAGGATTCATCATGTGAAGGGGAGAGTGGAGTATTACTTAACACTATAACTGAGAGAGGTTACACCATCATAACAATTCCTCAAAAATAATTCCAGAGCAAGTCTAGGAGAAGTTTTTCTCGAAGAATTTTGTACTCCTTGTGTTGGCAAACAATCAAGGCACTAAAATTTAATAATTTTACTGGATAATTTTTTTTGGTCAAATTTTATTGGATAACTTTGTTATCTTTGCAAATATAAAATTAACTAAGCAATCAAAATAACTTCTATATCCAATAAAAATAACCGAGTGATGGAAATACCACTTTATGGTGGCAGCAGCTGCAGCCAAACAGAGATAATACTGCTTGTAATAAGTGTCCAAGCCAAGTGCCGAAGGCTCCTTAGACGCTAGGTTTTTTATTAACATAGCACCCTAAGGAATAATACTTCAGTGACATGTAGGAGAAAAAAATGTTAAGCATCCTAAATCCCGGAAACACCTGAATGGATGGAAAGCAAATTACAACACCTTTGTGTCATCAAAACAACCTCGGGCCAATACAACCTGTATAGCAAGGACTGACATTAGAGATAAACATCCGCAGTGGTGCAATAAAATTCAATACTTTTAGACACACACTGATGCATAGAGAAAGTGACATCACCTTCTTCAATGTACTATAGAATCTATCAACCAATTCTGTTACTCCAGTTGTAGAATTGGGTGCTGACTTGTTTGGAGGAATAATGATCACAATGGGATCATAGAAATGCAGCAATGTTTTTGTATTTTGATACGAATTGCTAGTCTCAATATATTGAGAAAGATGCAATGATGCCGATCTTAAATCAAAAGCAGCTAAACCGACCTGTGCATATTATGAATTTCAGTCAGGCGTATGAATTTCCTTTATCTGAAATAAATGTTTACATCTTGCAGGAAAAATATATATACAAGCTCTCTAGCTCTCTCATGTGGTTTAAAATTCAGTTATTCATCAAAACCCAAGAATATCAAACACGGGGGAAGTGTGTGCTAATGAATGATGATTAGGCAACCTAAGTTCCAGGTAATGATTCCCAAGTCTGATGATAGCCACGACAATAAAACAAGCTCCTTCAAGTGATTTATTTTGTAAATATGTCATCCTCCTCAGTAATTAAATGGAAGAGTCGTCCTTACAACAAAAAAAAAGAAAAAAAGGGAAACATGTATTTATCGCTGGTTGCACTTAATAAGTATAAGGGAATCAAGGAACAGTTCACAACATTCTCATTTGAATTCAAGGGTCAAGAGGTCAAATTTCGAAGATAGCCATTACAAGCCTTATACAGACGACTGACTAGGACAAGCAACCTAAACACGGGGCTTGAGAAATCCTGACTCAAAATTGGAACCAAAATACTAATACTTGGGCGTAAAATCATAAAACTGAAGACCCCAACTAACTGAAGTTACAATCCTACATCCTTTCCCCGCGGTGATATAACAAGAAAGCCCAATTCACATCATAGATTTAGTAAGGTGCATCTTCAGTTAAAACCTCTGAACATCTGTGCCAGATATGCCAGCTGATTAAATACAGTGCATAACAATCATTAGAGAATGCATACATGAAATTCAACACATAATTTTTTTATGTTCTGATCCAGCTACAAAGGAAAAAAAGGCCAAACACGTGAATTTGAAATCAAATTCCGACTCCAGTAACACAAATCACTTGACATAATATATTATTGACAACAGTTCCTTCTATTGTCGACTGAAACGCACGCAAATAACGAGTAACAACAATCAATTCTTCGCCGAAGTCATTGATCATCGTGATTCCAGTGAATACTATTTTGGAATTTCTACCACTTACAAGTCAATAAAAACATGTACAACCACCGTACGAGCCAAAAACTGAAGATACTTCCAACAATCTACCATAAAAAAAGCAGGTATAAAAGACAGACACCAAGTAACACACATGCCATATTTTTCGAACGTTGAAAAACAGTTCCTGCTAGTTCGCTGATTGATAAATAAACTTGATGAACCAGTAAATTCAAATCCAATTTTCGATTTCAACAGGGACTGGACTTTTTTTGGTGGAAAGCAGGGACTGTAATTTAAATGAGATAAAACGGATTAAAGGATCTCTGTGAAAGAAATGACCAGCATCAACACGAGTTCCATGTAAAAGGAGTACGAGTTATCGAAGGATGGGAAGGACATCACCTCTTTCGCTCTATTCTCGATGAGACCGACCACGATACTAGAGCTCTCCGCACTGTCGTCTTCCATTGCTTTCTACTAGTTGGCTGGCTAAGTCTAAGCAAATTTTGCTCTGCGAACCAGCGGAAGAGGTAGTTATAAAGAGCGGTTGCTAGTGATTTCGTGCGTCGGGCGGGGCGTGCAGCGCATGAACCTTACGATGAGCACGTATCTTTGGCGGGAAGCTAATAATGTTTTAATTTAATCTCTTGATTTTTGTAGCCCTTAAGCTTTTTTTTTTTTATGTAGTGAAAAATAACTCATTAATTATTTAAAATAGATAATATCTTTAACCTTATGTGCATTTATAACTAATGGTCGTTTATCCAAATCTTTCACGCTCACGTTTCCTTTGCTTACTTTTATCAATAATATCCTACTTTTGTTAATAAAAGATAAGGCTATGATATTATGGGGGAGGGTCTCATGCGCGTTTAGATCCAAAGATCTTTATGCTTACATATCTCAATGATTAGTGATTTAGGTAACGCCTCTCATTGCCGCTCTTGGACAAATATAGGCTACTTGAGGACTTTCAACTTCTTGACATTTCAACTCACAAATCTCTAAATATAGTAATATAAACTCACACTCATGAATCGTGGTTAGATGTTTTTTAATATATAGGTTCCTCAATGAAGTAATTGCAGACCATACTTAAATTTTGGTATGATAAAAATAAAATATTATAGAATCAAGCTTTTAAGAAAGGAGAGAATTTAAAAGAAAAACATGATAGAGAACACACTGATAATATATTCAAACAAGCTTTGAACCAATTCTACCTTACAACATAACTGAGGCTCTCTTTTATAAATGAAGGGAAGAGAGTCAATACGACACAAGTGATAGCCGTAAGGGCGCCTTAAATTATGACTTAAATTATCACACTAACCGTAGTTAATCTAGAACTAGCCCAAAGGATTATCCTATAAGAATTAATCTAAACAAGTCGTTAACATGTATTTTCACAAATTATTTAAAATAAGAGAATTATAAATCTTTAAAATATTTTAAGAACTCACATTATTCAATTAAACCTATGTAAAAGCATAAGATTGATTAAGTATCAAGAAACACATTTCAATATGGGAGAAAAACTTCCCCCTTATTTCCTCTTTGTTCCTTGCTCTACATAGTGTGTGTGTGTGTATTTACCAACATAACACTTGGCCACTCAAACTCATTCATCACTAGCAGCGAGAGGCTAAGATTTAAATTACATCCACCATAACAATTATCACTCAGTCATCATACTCTATGTATACCATCTATTCATCAATAGCTCATCACATACATGAATTTTTCTTTTCATTCATATATAATTAATATTAATTACTCACCCTTGGACATGAAAAATACAAAGGGAAATCATAACAATATTCAAGTTCTTAAATCATGCATGCAATAACCATTTTCACTTGCACAAATGTTTTGGCCTACTAATATAAACATAAACATCAAATCACATTTTTAAGGGCCCAAAATACACTTCCACCTAATAAAAAACTCATAATACAAGTGAATCAAGAATATATTATCCTAGTTGATAATATCATAAACTGAATACATATATCAAAATAAAAAAGAAAGGCTTATAGAAGTGATTATTATCACTTGGCCTGATACTCCTTTTCTCTATTTTTTCCAGATGAGCTAGCTCTTGTAATATATTAAAAGAGATGGGTGAGTACAACCACTCGGTAATCAAAGTACATATAAGTTGTACAAATGCATGATAATTAATTATAAATGCAAGTGGCTAATAAATTCATCAAGATGATCATGTAAACAATCATATTAAGATCATGTTAATCACATCAACATCTAACTCAGGTAAATAATCTCAAGAATAAAGTTAAGTATACAATTGGCACAACTGCCCACAAGTACTAAACGTTCGTACAAAAGTGGCACAAATGCCCACATGTACATTTTTCACATATTTATTGCATGTTCTAATTTTCACAATTACAATCATAATATTAAACATAACCATCAATCACTAAAATGGCATAACAATAATGAAATGCATTATTAATCTCTTTCTTATATTCCCCTCATTTTCTCTGACATGAAATCTGTGGGCCAACAACTGAAAGGGTTCGTTCATGTGATGAGACTACCTAAGGTCTTAATCATATCGTGAGAGATTACTGAGCTCAGGTTACCTTATTCACTTATGAATGCGGTTTTTTTCAAATCACACACTATGAAGCGTTATACCTAAAATTAGCTCTATTCATAACTCTAGGTAGGTCAGTAGGGTTAAGTTTCTTAATAGAAACAACGTTACAGTACTCTACGAGGTAAGTAGCGACTGTAACTCTTAAAATTAATGATTAATAGCTAAGTATTATATGAATTTTGCACAACCGTTAGTTCCTTTATTAAGATGAACTCTTATTATATGATCGTGCTCGTTAGAAAATACATTTTAATAACTCTCAAATATGTAATTCACAATTATCCCACATGTTTGTCAATTTTCATACGCAATGAGCATAAAGAATTATCATATCTCAATCATGCCTCATGCATCAATTTTTATGTTACGTCATAAATCATATTAGCATCATATAAAAACTTAACATGCTTGTATATAATTCATCACCTTGTATAATCTATAATTTATAATTACAAGTATGTACATCATCATCAACCCTCAATCTCATTACTCAAATTATATCACATTATTCTATGAAAGCATAAATTAATATTAACATTCGACATTACAAAGAAAGCTTTCATATTCATTTCTTTTTCTCCACATATGACTATCGCTTTTAAAAATTTTACACATGTTACAACTAACTTTATCATAAATCATAAGATCTCAATAAAGTCACATATGTATTACAAACAACAATTTCAAATTTAGGTGAGGTGTGTGTGTTTATTTGTTTCACAAACTTAAAACAATTAATTAACATATAAATATATAAAATAGATTTTTCCCTATTACCTCAACCTTTGAGAAGTCAAATGTTACTCCTCAAATCAATACTTTCAAAGCTTGAATGGTGCCAAATAACAATTAATGTATAATTAATCATGTTACAATGTGTCAATAATATTATTAATATAATTTTCACTTATAGTTCAACACTTAAATATATTTTTTTCAAAACCTTTGTCTTAGCCTCTTGAATTCTAAAATTTAATTTCATATATTTAAACCTATCCACTTAATTCAATAACTTCCTTCACAATAGTTTCACTGAAGTTTTAGCTAGAATCATCCTTCAAACAATTTTCTAATATCAAAATTTCTTTTTTTATTTCATAAATTTGCACCTACGAGTACCAAAAAATTGCAAGCTCGGTCTTAAGGCTAGCATCATCATTTTATAATCTTAATAATATGTTTATACTCCCAAACAACCCCATAGTCATTAATAAATTAACTTATAATTTTATATTTATAAAAAATCTAATTACAGGAGTTTAGGATTTAACTCAAAAGCCTCAAATTCAAATTTTATCAATAAAATAATATTTTAAAATATTTATTATACTATTACCAACATTAACAATCATATTTATTCATCATAATTGATTTTCCATAACCACAAAATAAAAAACTCAAGAGAAAAGATGACTCAAAAAAATATTTAAAACACTTATAATACTTGAAATTTTATTTAAAATATCTTATTATGAAGCATTGAATCAAAATTTTTCTCCCGTTACATGCACACTCTGTTTCATTTTTTTTCTTTCTGTGAGACGCTGAATTGAATGAAAGAATGAAGAAGAGGAGTGTGTGAGTTTTTAATTTAGGCGTGCGTCCCACGGTCTCTTTCTTTCATTTCATTTCTTTTATATGTTTATACACCCCCCCCAAAAAAAAACATATTTCCAATCCGTCCCCCATCCCCTGTTTCTTTATTTTTTTAGTTATATCCCCTTTCTTTTTTTTAATAATATATTATTATTATTTTTAAAAAATTATAACTTAGGTATAGGATTTTATACTAAAGTAGATAAAATACTAATTCTTTAACTAAAATTATTTATTGTTAAATGTTCATCAAAATTACTTATTTATCCTTATTAGCTTAAGTAATTTTGAGTTAAATTTTAAAATATTACAACAACATGCTATTATTATTACACACTTTTCTAAAGTTAGGGTAGACAAAATCAAAAATAAAAGTAACTTTATTAAAGCTAATTTGACTAAAGTGGATAACTTTATTAAAAAAATAGAAGTTGCTTTTGACAAAAACAAACAGGACTTAAAAGCATATTAAAGCAAAAGCATATTCTTTACGTAATTGAAGATAAGACTTCAATCACCTTTAATGCTTGCGGGTGCTCTCTTAATCATAAGACAAATTGAGATGTCTGTTTTATTGCTTTTTGAAAAGTCATGCTGAGAGACTTTTCACTTTATCTTTATCCATATCTTCTTGTTTTTATGATGGTCCAACAATAAAAAAATCTTTTGTATTTGAAAATTGTCAATAAAAATTGTCAATAACACTAAAATTCTATCTCATAAGGGTTTTGACTATTTAGCGAAGGAAGGCTTGGAGGAAATTGTTGATAACACTGTGCTCCGTGGATTAAAGAGTATGGTTCCATCCATGTCAAATATCTTTGTTAAATAGCAATACTGGCAAGTCATTATAGAAACTAGTATTGTATTGATGGCAACAGGTCATCAGGTAAAACAAGTTGATGTGATATAAGATCAAGAAATTTACACCTAATGTTAGGGTCTGTACTTGAGAAGTTGTTCATATCATATAAAAATTTTTTAATTCAAATAAAACTAATTGTTCATACGAAGGCCAATTAATATAAGTTTTCCACAAGCAAGCTTAGTTAGCAGCATAAAAATTCTCATATCTATCTAGATGATAGGGACGATGAATAACGAACAAGGAGTAGGCCTTCTATTCATTTGATGGTACCCTCCATAGGCTATAATTTTCAATTACTTGAGAAAGTTCTTTATGCTATTGGGGGATAATAGTGAAAATTACTCAAGGAAACTCCAAAGATTATAACCTTCATTAGCAAAATCACAGAGATAATGATAAATAATCAATGGTGGAAAGGCCAGGGCACATGCATAGAAAGTTGAGAGAGACCAGAGATAGCACATGGCTTTTCTGATATAGGACCTTTAATGTAGGGTATGGCTAGGTAGGGGCCTAAATGTCAAATAACTGAAGTTGTGACTGAATCTAGATTTTTTGGAAAAGAAGATGGAGTCAAGAGAATAAACTTCTTTTAGCTAATTGATGGACTTATAAGAGAGACCTAGGATGAGAATTTATAAGCAAAACTAATTTTCTACACATCATGTTGAGTATGAAAAGAGGTTGGTGGTGTCAAGTTATGAAGAGCTAAACTCTTTTTTTGAGGTTTGGTGGGGTAGTCTATAGTGGTGTTATAATTTTGCTTAATGTACCTAATTGTGAATTTATAGCAAGAAAACCAATCTTTCCATTGAAAGAATTGAGCTTCAAGGAGTATCTTTTTATTCTGATAAAAAATCATTGGAAATAACATGTTGTCCATTTCTTTGTGGTAAGGGCTAAAATGAAAACTAAATTTCTTTATATCACATCACATTTTACAGCTATAATTTATTTGTAAGCCATATGATAATACTTTTTAAGAGATTTGAATTTTTTACTAGCATGACCATAGCAGTGTCTTTTCTTATCTTTTTTTTCAATAAGTATTACTCCACAATAATCATCACTCGCATCAGTTTGTAGAATTCTATATCCTTTATTAGGTATCATTAGAGATAGAAGATGTTGACAAATATGCTTTAGATACTAAATAGCTTTGATCTAGTTGCTTCCACAAGGAGGTGAATTTTTCTGTAATAATTTAGATAGCTAGCTAGTACAAATAGACACATGAAGAATAAAGTTTATGATGTAATTTACAGACCTTTAAAATTGTTGAATTGGAGTTCTTGATAGATTTTCACCTGAAAAATTTAATAATTCTCAAGTAATATATAAACTAAATTAATACTATCTGTCTTGGATAATCATTTTTAAAAACTTTATTTGTACTGTATTAATATAATTTTTACGGGGTGAAAATATAATCACATATTATTGAATTATTTTAAAGAATTGGGCAACGGATTCTTATGCTTAGCCTCTGTTCTGCGGCCTCTACCTCCCCGTCCCTCTCTGGCCCTCCTCCATGATCCCACTCTCCAGCCCATCATCTACAGCTTCCTGCCAGCCACTGTTCCCTCTTCCTCGACTCCTTCACTATCCTCTCGCTAAAGCTCCTGCCTTGACGGAAAATGCTAAACTGCACAGAAGAAGAAAGTTGGAACAGGACATACAAGGGAAACTTCAAGGACGATGACAGAGAGCAAACGACTGAGGATCCACGGTGGTAGCCATTGCAACCTTCGGCAGCATCCATGGTGACTGTCACGGTGCTGGAAAAATGGTGCTGGTGAAGTCATGAAATCCGACCTACCGATCGTGCGATCTGCCTCACTGACCTCACTGACGGCGACGAAATCCGAGTGCTTCCTCAGTGCGGGCATGGCTTCCATGCCTCCTGCATCGATAGGTGGCTTGAATCGAACTCTTCCTGCCCTTCCTGCCATCATATTGTGGCAGTTAGTAGGTACCACGAGTATGGTGGATTACAGGGCAATTCCAGTATGCCAACTGAATCGGAGGCTAGGATGGACTGCGTCAATCAATTCCTAGCATAACCTTGTGGGAATTTCAGTGGGAAGAGGGAGTTAATGGTTTGCGTGTAGATTTTTAGAAATTTGTGCTTACTGTTGTTTATAATTTGACTAAAATTATGTTGAGAAATTGGGGGTGCGGTGTTGGTGTAATATTTGACTAGTAATTATATGTTTCCACTTTCCAATGAATTCAGGATCCTCGTCATCAATTGTCAAATTCTTGGTTTGAATAGTAATAATGGTCTGTTCTTGTGTCACTGTGAGATTGACCTAGCTCATCCGTGGAAGCAATGGAAGAAGCTGAGGGTTGATACGGTGTGATGGCAACAATGGGAATAATGAAAGGTGCAGGATCAAAGGCAATGAGGTTCAAGCCTCCGGTGCCGTACAAGGTGAAGGAGGGATGATCTTCAAGTTTCAGCCATTTGCCACGAAGGATGAGAGGTGGACAAATGAGTTAGATTTATGTATGTCAGGTGGGTATTTTTTTGGTCAAAGCATTTCCTTCAACTGGTCAGCTAACATCTGTTTCTTTTTAAAATTTATCAGGAGGTGACCGATTTAAATAATTGATAAATTATTTTGTTCACCTCATAATATCTTTTTAATACTCTAATAGGAGACTAACCTCTCCCCCGTATTTCAATAGCGGCTGGGAAATAAAGTACAATTTTTATTTGTAAAAATATTAAAATGGATTTTGATCCCATCATCTCATGTTTTATTTTCAATTTAATTTGCTCATTCGTCACTTTCTATATTTGTTACGGTTTCTAATCATAATCATGCATAAAATAATTACTAAATACATGTTTTTAAATATTTTTCCCCCGTCCTATTTGTTGGACAAGGAGAGAATTTTTTTTATTTCATTTATGAGTTATATCATTAAATTTTTATTATAATTTTTTTCTTTTACCTTATATAAAATGTTGATAAAAAAAATATATTATTAAAATATATAGAAAAGTGAAATTAAAAATTTATTAAATTTTTAGACATAATTAATAAAGTTTAAAATTTCTTTTAGCTACAGTAAATATATATTTAAAATACTTTTCATAAAAAAATTTATAAATATTAAATAGTGTTAAAGAAGTAGTAGCTTTTAACCTGAAAATAAGTACATAACTTGTTTCAAGTAATTGTACGTTACTTTAGGCTTTTAAAGAATCATGAATTATTTTTATTTTTTGGACAAATTCACTCTTTAGTGGTATAGAGCTTATTTTAAGACATGGTAAGATATAGAGGTATTTTAAAAATATCATTACGTTTTTGTTAAATTCTAGATTATTTATTAATTTCCTTACCTTACATACACAAATACAATTCCAGTATGATATTGTGTGTGTGTGTGTGTGTGTGAAGATTTTGGAAGAATATGAGGACTAGGGGACTAACTTAGCAGCGCAAACAACAAAGTGATTTACTAGGTTAGAACTTTTAACCAAATATTTTTTTTTAATCCTGAAAAACAAGCTTTAATTACAGCTTTAAAGAGGTAATAAAAAATTGATAACGAAATGGAAAAGAGAGAGTTTAGGTGCATTGTTTGCCCCTCCTTTCCCCTGGCCAATTATAGCCAACCAAGCACAATAAGAACCAGCACTATAATAAAAATTACATTAAAAAGATGAGACATATTATATTATTTATGATCTATTTAATAAAAATATTTTAAATTATTTAAATAAAATTTTATGTGACATTATTTTAATTAATTTTATTTTTATAATAAAATATATATTTAATTTATTGTCTTTGATTATGTATTATTTTTAATGTTAAAATTAATTTATATTTAATGATATTTAAATATCATATTTTTATTAAATAAATTATAAATAATATAGTATATCCAATTTATTTAGGAATCAATTTCTTGTACTATGTTTCTTTTGAGACTTTTGGAGCCACTTATAAATACATCACATGATTTTTGGAAATTCGTTGAACTTGATCAAAATATGATCTTGATTAAAATAACGTGAGAGTAAAAGTTGCAAAACTAATCTTGCAACAAGAAGCCCAAAATCCCAATATCCTTGCTCTTCGGAATGTTGAGGCAGTGACGTTGCTGGTCACTACTAAGTAGCTATTAGCTATGCTTTGCTTCCGAAGCGTGCTTTCCACCGGAAAGCAGACTCCGGCATTACGCTAGATAGTTCAAACGGAGTGGAAAATAGCAAATATGAAATATAGGGTTTCGCACCGATTTCCTGTGTTCCCTCACGTTGCGCGGCCTTATTACGCGCTTAACCGGTCTCGTTCCTTATCCTCTTTCTTCAAAAAGTTCCAATCAGCACGAGCTCGAGCTTCTATAAATGGCGGAAGTGGCAATTCTCAAGGTCAGTGGCTTCTCCGTCTGCAACATGATTTATATTGAAACTGTTTAAGAATTAAGTGGAGATGGAAAATGAAAGTCTCTTGATTCTGTTGTTCCTCCTGACACTATTATTCTACTAAACTTGTGTCCTGCTTAAATTTTCTTTTATTTGGGTGTTCGCCCGTAATGATTATCCTGGGTATTTTGTTTCCTGTGAAATATTACTTACTTTCCTACTGCTTAAGTGGTGAATGTAGTTACCTCATAGTCGCTTTGACCCAATTTGGTTATTGTTCAGAATGTGGTTCACAGACTCTGGTCGTTAATTTAACATCCAGAAATTTAAAGTGTGAATCCCATTCAAACTCTGAGGTACATATGTTGGACGAATCGAGCAAGTGACTTTTAGGTCAGATTATGCGGAAAGCTGTCTGAAAACATCGCTGATGAAAATTTTCATCCTATCACGCCTTAAGCTGCTTCAAATAGCTACTAATAATGTGAGAAATGGTGTCGCTTTAATCTTCACACTGTGGTATATCCGGAGTTCCAGATATCTTTATGCAAATCCTCAGAATTCTGTAGCTGGTCAAAATTATTTTTTGCAGTTGTCCTGTTTTTTATATTGTCTACGTCCAGAACATTGGAACTTATGGCTAAGAGTGTGTAGGTGATTCTTTCCTTATACCCGGCGCATCAGTAGCTGCCATACTTATGCTAGGTGCACTCCATGCCCGTCGACTGTATGATGACAAGAAGGTACAATTAGATAACTATGAAGTCATTGTTTATTACAAGGACTCTGCAGTACCTCTGTTTTTCTCCTGCACTGGGAATCTTTCTCAGAGCGTATTGGAACCAAATGGGGGTGGGGTTTTCTTCCAAAGTAGGGAAGAAACTAAGAAGACAATCTCCTTCCCAGTTGGATTCCCTTTGTTATCACGACCAATTGATCATTGACATTCGGGCATTTGGGTTACTTGTAGTGGAGTCCTCCTCTTTATTCTCTATATACCTTGTTAATAGGGGACACATTGCAGCAAGAGTGCAGAGAGGGGAAAAACAAAAAACAAAAAACAATTCTGGAGCACTCAAGGCAGATGAGCTGTTGTAGGCTTGCAGCCTTATTGCTGGTGGATCCTTATGTTTCTGTTTTTATGCATGATGCTGGGATTCATTCAGATGCTGTGCTTCAATGAATTGGATTTACTGCAGATGCTACCTGTCTGCAAGAATGAAGTCTTACCTGATTTATATTATACTCATACATCTCTAGAATAAATATTTTTTGTTTTGTGACAGATTGAAGAGATGCGGGAGAAAGGAATTGAATTGGAGTTTCAACCTGATGTTAAGGTCCTCCCCCCTTCTCCCCCAAAAAAAAAAAAAAAGAGAGAGAGAGAGAGAGAGAGAGAGAGAGAATTCGTTATCCTTGTTATATATATCTCTGTATCAATGGGTGTCACAGTTTTGAGGCTGACTGACATGTGTCCTTATTTTATAACAGGCTACATTTTTTAGAGTTTTGCCTCTGCGTTCAATATCTAGACTTTGGGGATACTTGACCAGCTTGGTAAGAAGTCTTCTTCTTCTCTTCTTTTAATTATCATATTTGATATTTATCAATGTTTTAGTTGAATCTCAACTTAAATTTGTTCCTGGGATGCATTCTTTTTTTTCCCTCTTTGCTAATCTGACTTTTCTCTTGTCCTGCAAACTAACATTTGTGCTGCATAATCTTTCCAGTCTAGTTATAATTTTCAAATTTATTTTTAATTTGAATATTTCCTATCATCTTTTATATTCTTTGAGTTACATCTTACATGACTTACCTATTAAGGAAAAAATTTCAGGAAATTCCTGTGTGGTTAAGGCCATATGTTTATAGAGCTTGGGCTCGGGCATTTCATTCAAGTATGATTTCCGGCTTTAATATTATTCACTACATTATATTTTAATATGATCCTTTTGATGTCTAGAATTCTAGATATAGATGCTAAAATTGTAATACGATCCTATTGATTTTTAGATTTACATGAAGCTGCATTACCTTTAGACAATTATGGCTCTTTAAGGGATTTTTTTGTTCGCACTCTGAAAGAAGGTTCCAGGCCCATTGACCCTGATCCACAATGTCTGGTAACTGGTAACAGCTTTTTAGACATCTCAAAATTTCCTATTAGTTTCCTCTGTTAGCATTGTCAACTGATACATAACATATGACCATTCAGGTTAGTCCTGTGGATGGTACAGTTTTAAGATTTGGAGAGTTGAAAGGAGCAGGTTCTATGATTGAACAAGTTAAAGGATTTTCATATTCTGTTTGCTCCCTTCTTGGCGCAAGCCAATTTTTTCCTATATCAGCCGATGATAATATACATGAGAAGCATATTGAATCTGTAAGCACTACTGACGAGAAGGGAAACAGATCTTGGTGGAGTGTCTCCTTAGCTTCTCCCAAAGTATGGGACCCTAAATCATCATGGTAATTAGATGTTGAATTTCTAATTGTCTCCTGTATGGTTGTAAGTTCATAATTTAGCAGGACCAAATTGTTGAAGATTTTCTTTTTTCTTTTTGGTGAATAATCGTTGAAGGAAATTGATGTTTGTTTCTCAGCTGATTTGCTTAAACTAACTCCTACATTTTAAAATGCATCTATGTTAGTTGGATGTCACAGGGCATATGATAATCCATATTTGCAACTCTAGGAGGAACCTAAACTGAAAAGTGAAAATGTTGACATATTGTAGCAAACAAGCAACAGATTCATATTCATATGCTTCTATGTATTAAATCGATTCTTGATGAATGCATTGTATGAAGGTTCATATCTAATCAAAATTTCAACTTCAGTCCAGAAAGAGGCCTTTTTTACTGTGTGATTTACTTAAGTCCTGGGGACTACCATCGCATACATTCACCTGCTGACTGGAACATTCTCGTTCGCAGGCATTTCTCAGGTAAAAAGATTTTGTTCATGAGCCTTTACATTTGAGCAATTTGAGAATGGAGCCTTGTTGTAATCTTTTTCGGTGAGGCGTCTGTGTCTGTAGCATGTTCCTTATCCCTGATATACTGTCATCAGTAAATAGTAACCCTTCCAAGAAGGAATGTGGGAGAAACAGTCATATCCGAAGAATTTCATGTGTGATGTTACCAGTGATTATGTTTCTAATTGAAAATGATCCCTCACTTGTACGCTCTTTAAAATCATTGTAATAGTATAGTTGTAGACTTGTCCTATAAAAACAATTTACAATAACAATGAAGTATTAAAGATGCTTTAATTTTATTGGTCATATGAGTTTGTTGATACAGCATAACAATCAAGTAATGTAGCAATCAACAACAACAACAAGCCTTATCCCACTAAGTAGGGTCAGCTAACGTAGCAATCAACAAGACCAAAAATATGTTTATATTTATTAAGATAATAAAATTTTTTATCCCTTGAGTTTGCTTTAATTATCAATTTGGTTCCTGAAATTTAATTTTTGTTAACTAAATATCTAAAGTTTTAAAACCATACATCATTAGTCCTAAGAAAATAACATCATGCAAACTAATTGTATATGGTTGTGAGCCTTCAAGGACTTGATTGATAGAAATTAAATTTCAAGGACCAAATAGATAACTAAAGCAAACTTGGGGGAACAAAAGTTTTATCATCCCATTATATAAAAGGAAAATAGCAATCAAGGACCTCTATATGAAATTTATATCAGTCAAGGACAAGTTGTTGTCAAAATCTGAATGGAAAACAAATTTGAATAGACTGTTGTTAATTTAGAATTAGTTGTTAAAACCCAAATGAATACTTGTTGATAAAAGACTAACTCGAATCGACAAGTATCCATTTGAGTTTTGACAACTGATTATTACTGATATGAATTTTTTACAGAGGTCATTGATTGCTATTTTCCCTTATATAAATAAAAGATGGGTTGGCAAAGGGAGAAGCAACATTTCCCTTAACAGCTTCAAACCCCCCACCCAAAAAAAAGAAGGAAGAAAAGAAAGGAAAAAGAAAAAGAAAAATCCATCCCTGTATTTCACTGTCTTTGCAAGCCCTCGAAGAGAGATTTACCCTGCAAAGAAACAGTCAAAAGCTTTGTCGTTAACTTGATTTTGCAGTTTTCCTCCATTCAAGTAGTCTTTTCTTCTTTTTCCTTTTTTCCCCAATGAGCTGTTAGTTTTGGATCATCAATATATTAGATCAAAAGCCATATTGGTAGGTGGGTGGCAAGTAGTAACCTACTTTATCTGTCAATGACTACTGCTCCTGCAACCAAATTCAGAAGAGGAAAGGGGGCGCAATTATCCCCTATCAAATTATTCATAGGTGCAGTCGCAGTTTTTGCATTTGTCTGTTGATTGATAAGTGTTCGTTTGACATTTGACAAATTAAGATGTTTTTTTTCCGGTGATAACCATCAGAATCGATGGGATATAATAAATGAAGAGCTATATTTGACAGCTTCACTCGTTAGTTTTCATCCGACATTTTTCTATTTTAATATAATCTTCCCCCCTTCAATTCTTATTCTGTGTTATGTTGCAGGACGGCTTTATCCCATGAATGAACGTGCTACAAGAACAATAAGAAATTTATATATTGAGAATGAAAGGGTAATTTGACCTGCCAATGACAGATGCAACAATTTCGTCTCTATATACCTGTATTATCTTGCCTCAAAGCCTAGAATTGTTGATTGATAACTTGACACACAATGCCTTATCTCTTGAAAATTTGAATGTTTGATGAAAAGCAGGGACCACAAGCTCTTCCAGTTGCTGTTGAAGCATGAGGCGCACTTGCTGTGGTTTTGCTTTTTGTTGCCATTCAAATATCTTGCCCGAAAAAAATTACGGGCTTGTTTGGATATGTTTTTCTGATTTTATGTTAAAACAATTTTTTAGAATAGTTTTTCAGAACAAGTTTTGGAAACAAAAAATGAAAAAAAAAACTATTTAAATCATTATTTTGAAGAACATATTTAAATTGGTGAAATAAAGGGTGAAAAACTAAATTATTTTATTATCATAATTATCGTTAATGAGAGTATGATATTTTCTGTCTTTTCTCTAGTTTTGCAGAACAAAAGGTAACAAAACATCTAGAAGGTGTTCTGGTTTTTAGTTCTTCAGAATAACTTTTAACTTTTTATTTTTCAGAATAGATAACAAAAAATGCATTTTCAAACAATTTTTTTTCCCCCAGAACAAAACTTTTCTGAAAGTAGGTAATCAAACAGGCTCTATACTTTCTACTAATAAGCCATAAAACTAAATGAGCTTTCTTTGTAGATATACAGAATGCTCAATATTCTGTCAATTCTTTTGGAATTATCCTGACTTTCTTTATGCTGGTATTGATTTGTGGAACTCTTTAATGACTTCAATCTATGACAGCGTGATTAACATCTTCAATATCCAGCTCTACGATTTATGATCACGTATTATCTTCATGGATTTGCTCCTGTTTTTTCAGGTTGTTCTTGAAGGTCTATGGCAACAAGGATATATGGCACTTGCAGCAATTGGGGCCACAAATATTGGGTCAATCCAGGTTTTTTTTAGCAGTTCCTTATAGGTGTATTAAAAACAAGCTCATGACACCATTACTAGCGTTACAATATGCTTTATGTTCATCCGTTGGTTTCAAATTGTGAATTAACATTAAGTTTTCTTTCTAATTTGTTGGTACCGGATTGAAAAATTTAAGCCAGAAAACTTTGGAATACAATGGCAGAGGGATGGCATGTTTGTATTTTTCGTTGATAATAAATTGGGCTATTCATTAATGAATTTAGTTTTAACTCTGACATGACAGCTTTTCATTGAACCTGAACTCAAAACCAACAAGCCAAGGAAGAAGTTTCTTTATTCAGAGCCTCCTGAGGAACGGATTTATAAACCTGAAGGGGTTGGCAACATGCTTTACAAGGGAGATGAGGTTAGACATGCACTCTGCTTGTTTATCGGTGCTTAACTAGCGAACTATCAGGATCAATTTGGCTTCATTTAGTTTATTGTATCACTGGTCCTCAGTTAGCTGCTTTCAACATGGGATCGACAGTGGTGCTTGTTTTCCAAGCTCCCATTTCGAAACTTCTCGAAGAAGGGTGTCCCTCACCGGAGTTCAACTTCTCTGTCAGACGTGGGGACAGAGTCCGTGTCGGCGAGGCTTTGGGAAGGTGGAATTAGGCTTAACAGTGGCCTCTCCGGCACAGAGGGCAACAATCACATTGTGTATAAAGTAATATTTAATCGTGCCCTGGGTAGATTCCTTCCATATTAATCTCCGATATTTATAAACTCAACTCTGCTTGAAGAGGAAACTCTGCTCATGGAGGGGGAATCGGTCTGTGGCTATTTATAATCTCAAGTGATTTTGCTGGTCGAGTGTCCTTGGACGGCGATATTTATTACGCTCTAAGAGGCAACGTTTTGTGGAAAGAGGATATTTACAATGTTTGAATTATAGAAAATAATTATAATATCACGAAACGATGGATGTCATTTTTTACATTAATTTTATTCATTTTTAAATTTTCTTTATTTTTCATCCATTTTTTTAATTAAATGTAACCTTGGCCAAAAATTTGTTTGCTAAGATAAAGATATTCTCACAGGTAATGATAACAATTCTTTAAGAAATTTGAGTGTCATTTAAAAAGTGATCTTATTTTAAGTGATAAAAATATTTGTATTCTCTTTGCTTTTGAAATTACATTGAATTTTCGTCAAAATTATTTTGCTAATATATGGTTGGCTTTTATAAATGTGTTTCAAATTTCAAAATATATAAAATCTCACAAGAGGGCAACGCATCGGTCTGTCTTCAGAGGTATGAGTAGAAAATAACAATTTTCTTTTTTTTTCTCCTAACCTTTATACCAATAATCAACCGGGAACTAGAATTGCAACCGAAAGGTCCAAAATCAGGAGAGAGAAAAAGTGTTGCCAATTCAATGAGGTTCTCTGGGTGTTTATATTTTTATAAAATAGAATATACTTTTATAGTAAACTGTAGAAATGTTCGCAAAAAAATAAACACTTTAAAAATAAATAATCAATAATTTTAATTAAAAATAAAACAATAAAATTACAACTGATCAAGGTAAGTAGTAACGGCAGATCGTGATTCCCAAGGTAAAAATGGGATGAACACAACATGGCATGCGTGTATTTTCTCATGTGAGAGTTCAGCATCCAAAATTCCGTATACCCAGGGGCGGACAGAGAAACTACGAGAAGCTATGGCCCGCCCTAATTTTTAAATTTTTTATCAGTAAAATGGAAGGTTATATAGTTTTGACCTTTCTAGATTGATGCATTACAAAAGCTTGGATTCGCTAGACAGATTTTCATTTCAATTTTATATACAACTTTTTATATATATATAATACATCTACTTTAGTTTTAAAGATGTGAGTATAAAATTATCATAGGATCTATTTATTTATAATGAGATGATATTATATGTTCTTAAAGTATTGACTTTATTTAATTTTGCTTTCAGTTTGTATTTAATGAAAAAATTATAAGAATTATTATTAATAAATCCTGTCAAGCATTATAACCTAAATCTTAAAATATATTTAATGTGATATGATTGATATTTATCAAAAAATCACTTATTTAAAAGTAGATACCATGGTTAAGATGTCCTTCTAAAAAAAATTATTTTTTTCTTTGTAATAACTAAGCCATTAAAATTTATTATATGAATAATTTTTACTCTGATATAATTCAATTTTATCGACATAAAGATTTTATGATAATTGAATATTATTACCATGTTGATATTTCTACTAATGATATCAATTATCAATTGAAAAAATTAAATAATAAATTCAATCAAAGTAATAGAGTTTCTTAGGTTAAATAAAACTTTAAATTTTAATGATGTATTTAAATAATTCAACACTTAAAAGGAATGTGAATTTTTACTAATTTAATAATAGTATATATTAAAAAAATTACTAAAAAATTTATTAGAGATATGAGAATTGATTATTTTTATATCATAAAAAATTGATGAGAAAAACTTAAAATATGAAAGCACATATTTATTTTTATTATATATTTATAAAATTGAATATATATATATATATATAGTGGAATATTTATATTATTTCAGTGATATATGTAAATTTAGGGTGTAATTGATAACTTGTTTTGAGAACAATTTTCTATCCTTAAAAATAAATAAAAAATTTGTTTAATAACTTACTTTCAAAATATATTTTAAAAAAATAAATATTGTTTTGAAGAATAGAAAAATAAAAATATCTTTTAAATATTTTAAAATTATTATTTTAAAAAATAAAAAATATGAGAAATATATATTTTTATTATTTTTTATTTTTAAAGCATGTTTTATAAAATATCAGTTCTCATAATGATAAAATAAAAATATTTTTAAATAACCCCTAATTTCTCCCGTTCCTTTTTACTTCCACCATGCCAATATCCACTGAACAAAAACACTTGACAGGTGCGTGGGATCTCAATGCATTTTTTTTATTTTTTCAACAAATCAAATACTCTTTTTTTTTTCTTTTGGCCAAAACAAATCAAATAATCAATAGATCTGATAAGGCCTCTTTTCATTAATTAGCTTAGCCTCCGAACGCAGCGACTGGCAAATCTAAAGCCCCTAAACTAAAGCCGAACCTCTCATCCCATCGTTCCAGGGTTGGCAAAAGAAAGTGTTGTTTATAACAAGGTTTAGCATTCCTCAATATCTATTACGCTGCAGAACGGCATTCACATTGCTATTTCCGAATCCGACGGGACGTCCCATAAAATTGGAACGACATGGATGGGTCACACAAATCGAGAAACAATTGGAATCTACTGATCTAAACATGCGGCTTTTCCTTTTCTTGTTTTTGTTCAAATGAATTAAAACAATTAGCTCAAGTCATCGGACTAGCCGCATTTTAAGCGCTAAATTGATTTCGAAACAGGCATTAAAAAAAAATCATACGTAGGTGGCTTATGATCAAAGTAACTGGAAAAATTATATAAAGAATGAAATCAAAGGGAAAACAGAATAGGAGTTACGCCGACGATTGTTTAGACTAGAGTAGGACGAAGACGACGGCACTCGCTTGTTCCGGAACATCAAGTAGCCGATCGGCAATACGACTCCGATCATCATTATAGCGGATCCAATAAAGTATCTGATTGGGCTAGGTGGCTCAACCTCTACGAAGGTCCCTTACCCGCATTATACGGAATTATGAGGGGAAGCGGAGAATTTTTAAATTAGATGATAATCCAAACTCGAAAACTATTGAACCTAAACAGTTGGCTCCGAAGGAGAACGGGACGGGAGAGACCAAAGGAGAAAGAGCGAGAAACGGGTACCTAAATTTTCACGCATAAAGTCAGAAGCAGACAGATTCTCTGCGATTGCACTAACACGGTGTTTTGGGGGAATTAGAGAGAGTAGTACTAGCTTGGCTGCTTTTGTCTACTGACGCTATAATTGATGATGATGATGACGACATTAGATATTACACTGAAATTTGAATTGTTAATTGCATGATTATTTTTGTCACCGAAAGTTTTTTTAAAAATTTCACTGAGTCAGAAGATGTTCATCTGCAATATTGTACACTCCTAGTCCTATAGATTGGTGTTTGGTTTGATATTTGATGCTTTTACGGGAAAAATTGACAATCAAAAGATTGAAAATATAATTTTCACATGAATTGAGGGTAAAAAATATTTTTAAAGTATATACAAAAAATTATAAATAATTTTAAATTTAACTATAAATTATTTATATCTCTCAATTTTAAATTTTTTTTTTCAACCACCCTACCATTTTTCCATTTATTGTTATGCTTTTTGAGCTTATTTTTATTTTTTTAAATATTTTTATTTTATAATAAAATATTATTCTGTGCCTCACATTATCTTTTTTTTATAAATTTTTTTACCTCCTCTCTCCCCTCTCCCTCTCAGATCTATAAGTCAATTCTCATCATCATCTAATTGTCTCATGGTCTCACACTCTCTGTCTCTCTCCCCCTCCTCTCCCTCTTTCTCCCTTGTGGCCTCATTAGACTGCCCCTCTGCCCCACCACATCCCTCACTTCCTTCGCCGTCATGTCCGCCTTCCCAAACCTCCTTTATCCTGTCGAAACGTCTCCATTGCCACCTCATGTGACACCACGTTTTTGGCCTCATGCATGGAGTGTGTGCAAGCAGGGAGTATGTGCAACGAAAGAGAGAGAGAGAGAATTGGTTTAGTGAGGAGTGGAGGAGATAGAGCGTGATTGTGCAAAGCTTCCAAATGACTAGTAATGGATGACGAGGGTTGGTGGAGCAAGGTAGAGCAATGTCATCGGGCTCTCTTGCTTTTTGTTTCCCAGACTTGTCACTGTGGAAATGAGAGTGGTACGACAGGGAAAGCAAAGCACAATGGTGAGATGAATGAGGTGGTTGTGCGAGCAAAAATGATGGCACACTGTGGAGTGCATTCAATGGTGAAGCTGGGCTAAAGTGAATGAAGGGAGGAAGGGGTCGAGAAGTCAGAGAAGGAGAAGGAGGGTGAGAAAGAGTGTGTTTGGGGTTGGGGGGGGGGGACAGAGAGGAAGGAGAGAAGGAAAAGAGCAAGGTTGTGAAGGAGCAAGGCTATTGGGTTTAGTTGGCTATCTAGCGAGATGAATTGCTAACTCTAAGGTTGAAGTTGTTGGAGTTGCAGAAGAGGAGGTCAAGGCTGAAGTCAGTGACGATGGGTTCCATGGTAGAGTTGAAGAAGATGTTAGAGGGTTTAAGTGTCATGGATGAAAGCTATGCCTTGTGCTAGTCCTCTTACTATCTGTGGTTGCTCTCACTTCGACAAGGTCCGATCAGCGTCGTCATGTTAATTCTGTGCAGAGGCAATGAAACACGAGGAGTAGAGAGGGAAGGGACAAGAGGAGAGAGAGAGAGAGAATTTTTCTATATTATTAAGAATAATAAGACCCACTAAATAATATTTTATAATAAAAAATATTAAAACAATAAATATGAGCCCCACTAACATAAAAAATGAACGGATAAATGGTAGAGTAACAAAAAAAAAAAATATTTAAAGTTGAGGGATATAAATAATTTATAATTGAGTTTATGATCATTTATATACTTCACAAATAAAAATGATTTAATCTTTTTTAAATTGTAACTTACTACTTTCGAAGGCGAGACATTGTTGTCCACTCGTCCGTCTCTGATGTTTAATTCATATTTGGCGGAGAAAAAGTAACTCGAGATTATTTGGTCCGCGAGCTTCTCAGGTAATTGATTCTAATATTGGTTGGGACTGGTTTATAGAATAATAAGGATTAATTCTAGAAAAGAATATAATTAGAAATCCGCTTCACGTAGGTATATATTTCCAGGTTGGAGATCTAACAATCTTACATACAGTATTATGATAGTCAATATCGGATCGACACGTCCAAGTTATGTGGCCGAACGCTTTTGCGAGATGGAATCTATCACTTTCAAGCCATAAATTTCTGGGGCCACTTCTAGCTATTGGATTCAATCAAATAGCATAAGATGAAGAATGGGAAAGCGGTCACGCCTCATGATTTCTAATATGTGTGCGGCTATGTGTGAATGCCATGAATATGAACCCTGAAAATTCCAGAGGAATGCGAATATTTGGTGGGTGAGAAGTGATTGTCAGTTATTAATTAGGTTCCGGATTACTACATCTTGTGTACCTGATTTAACTCTCTAAAGATTCAATGGGTCGCAGGAACTGTGCTACAAACATGGAATATGACCTCTACTGATAATCAATGGCTACACCTTCAATCCCTACAAATGGCGCAACACCACCCTAAAGGGTCCACTCCTTGATGGCCCTTTGAAATCCAATGCCTGTTACTATCATGAAAACAATTTATACCTTTGGGTAAGTTTTGCTTTTTGTATCCAGGAAAAAGAAAGACGACACGTTCATGGTCTAATGTAATATTCGTTCATCATGACATTAATTAATTGCATTCGGGCTGATATTTTTGCTAATGCTTTCTTTTTATTTCCTGTGTCTTATTTTAGCGAAATGGCTATTCAAACATAAATTGCACAGCCACGGGAATATGGGAAACAGCCAAGTTAGGAAGGGAAGGGGCTGCACTAAAAGTCGTCCATCCAGGATGACTAAAGCAATTGAATAAAAAATTTATTAAATACTTTGATTATTAATACTGTTACTTCCCATTTCCACGGGAAATGAGAAGTAAAGTTTTTGGTCATTTTTATAGGTTTTGTATTTTGTTGGAAGTACAAATTTACTCATGTCAATATTTATTTTGATTTCTTTAAAACTTTATTATTTATTTAGTATTATCATAACCTGAAACATCTCTTAAATGAAATTATAATAAAATTAAAGATTTTATCATAAAAACTAGATCATTAATTTTAATTATGTATTTAGAGAAGCCAATAATTATGCAAATTAACTTACCCATCAAGCGTCAAGCGACAATAACAACATCTTAATTTTTGATGACCCTTTGCTAGAATGTTACACTCTTATATGACTTGACTTGACCTAATTTTGTAGCATTATCACAACCCAGATCATTCCTTCAATGAAACTATAACGAAGATCAAAAACTTTATTATGAAGGATTAATCATCAATTTCAATCATGTCTTTTAAAAAAGCTAACAAGTATGTGAACTAGCTTATCCATCAAACATCAAACGACAATAATAACATTTTAATTTTTGATGGCCTTTTGTCAAAATATTACACTCTTATATGACTTGTCTTGACCTAATTTTGCACCATTTTTTGTGATCTTATATTAAAAATAAAAAATCATCCCACCGACCGGGGTGGTCCTGCACGCATTTTAATTTATTCAAATATAAAAATCGAACGAAAGTACGTACGTTGAACGCGAGATTCTTACGAAGACATCGAAGTATTCTCCCGCGAACCGTAAATTGATAATCTATAATTGTTAAAATGGTGTGCGCCCTACGCTAGAGGGCCTTGCATGAGCTTTACTTAGGAACCAGAACCCGGTTCTCCTGGATTGTGTTTGTTATATTTTTAGTTAATTAGGTTTTCGAGCTTCGTGAACTCCAGATTGTCTCCGATTCTTTTTTGTTTCTGTAATGAACTCGTGGTGGTTCAAAGCACTAGATTTCGATCCTCGTTCCTGTAATCTGTCTGGCCTCGCTGCTTCTGGGCCGTGTCTCTTGTATATATATTCAAGGCTGAAGTTGGTCGCAAAGTAGGTGACTCGGTCAAAAGCTTCTCTTGATTCATGAGGTTGTGAGCTCCGTAAAGCAGGTGTCTTTCTCTGTTTCTTTCTTTCTTTTGTTTTTTTTTTGTTTTGGTAGAATTGTTATAGAATAATCTGTCTTTTGCCATTTGGTATTTGCTAAAGGATCTCAACCCATTCTCAATTGGATTTTCTTTTTATTTTGTCAGATTATCAATTCCGTGACGATTTTTGGAAAGTTCAGACTCAGACACGGTCCGTCAAGGATAACGGAAGTACTTCATCTGGTATTGCTCTGGGAAAACTGGTACACTCAAATCGTCACAAAACGATAACTTTTGCTTTTGCAACTGATTGTATTCTAGATAATATGCTAACTGGCCTTATTTTCTGCTTTGTGGGTCTTACGTTGCGCGCCTAATGTAGCATTGCAGGCTTTTAAAAAAAGTGAGTGCGCGCGTGTCTCTATATAACGATCTCAAGTGACTGAACTGCTAGGAGCATTCAGAACTTGTCTGAAGCAAAAATGGAAGGCGATTTGTTTCCAACTTTGAAAATGGTTCCTGGTATGGGCTCGAGGATGTGGAGGAAAATAACGAATTCACACTAGTCTCTTCATTGCCAGCCATACCTCAGCCACCGACACCGCATGAGCCTATGGAATTCCTATCGAGGTCTTGGAGTCTCTCCGCTTCTGAAATCTCCAAGGCTCTCTCAGAAAAACAAAATAAGAAACCAGACACATTGCCACTAGCCATTTCAGCACCTCAACTAGTAAGCCATCATCATCCTAGTATATTAACACCCACTTAAATCCTTATTATTGATCATTTGTTGGCAGAATTATGTGCCAGCATTAACTCTTGATCTCTGCTTTTCCAGCCAGGGAAGGCTATAAGTTCTAATTCTCCTAATTGTCGAAGAATGAGCAGCATTGGTAAATGGTTCTACCAAAAGCATAGTAATAGTACTAATAATACTACGGCAACGAGAAAGAAAGACAGAGTACGTTTAGAGAATGCTCGTGTACATTCTGCTGTGTCCATTGCTGCACTAGCTTCAGCCTTGGCTGCTGTGGCGGCAGCCGAGAGCTCCAATGGCCCTCCTTCAAAATTAAACCTTGCTCTGGCTTCAGCCACTGAACTCTTAGCATCACACTGCATTGAAATGGCTGAATTAGCCGGAGCTGATCATGAGAAGGTGGCTTCTACGGTGAGGTCTGCGGTTGATATTCGAACCTCTGGTGATCTGATGACTCTAAGCGCTGCAGCCGCAACAGGTACTTGCTTACTTTGTCTCATAACATGGTTCTTATAGAAGCTATTCATCATTATTCATTCACTTATAGATTCTTCTTGGACTATGAAATTAGCTTTGCGGGGAGAAGCGGCTCTGAAAGCAAGATTGCCCAAGGAGGCAAAGAAGAATGCTTCCATTAGTCCCTATGATAGGGGAATAGCTGAAACGATCTTGCTTTCTGTTTTTGACACTCCAACGTGGGAACGTCCTCCTCCATGTGTGGGAGATTTATTGCTGCTTTCTCAAAAAGGTAATTGGCTTATTTCTATCATGTCGGATGGTCATGTTTCAAAGTACCACATATACACTTGATCATTCGTTGGGGTTCACTGTGTTGGATTGGCCTAGTCCTTAATTGATCGTTTCTAAGCCTGCCCTTTCATTTCAGGTGTTTTACAATGGAAGCATGTTACTGTCTACATCAACAAGAAATGTCAGGTATAACAAATTTATTTGTATGCTAACAAATGTTATGTGATGGTGGACTTTATCAGCAAGGCAACAGAGTTTATATGTATCTCAATTATCATTTCTTTTATTCTTAGGTCAAGATTAAGCTCAAAAGCAAGCATGTTGGAGGAGCCTTCTCCAAAAAGAAAAAATGTAAGCACGCTCATATTACTTGTTTTCCGACTATGCATTGCCATTACACACACACACACACACACACACAAAACTTCATCAAGAGATGTCTGTTTTCTGGTTTGGCGGCTGTGGATTCTGAAAGATCCCTTATCACATATCGTGCTAGGTGTGGTTTATGGAATTTGTGATAAAGATGCCGCGTGGCCGTATCAAAAGGAAAGGGAAGCATCGGAGGAGTTATATTTTGGCCTTAAAACAGGACAAGGTCTTCTAGAGTTCAAGTGCAAGAGTAAACTCCACAAGCAGCAATGGGTTGAAGGAATAGAGAGTCTGCTTCGTCAACCCAATTCCATTGAAGGAACGGAGCGTTCTCTGGAAAGTTTGAGCATCAGTAACAGCATATAATTTGTTCCGACGAAGTTTTCCCAAAGGCCTGTACTCACTATACATATGTCAGTTCTACGATATGATACAGCAATAAAGCAAATCCGACATCCAAATTTCATCTTCAGGACATTATCATCCAATTGTTGAATGGAGTATGTGTAAATAAGATAGAAAGATCTGAGATCATGCAATTTTCTGACGCATTTTAGCACTCTATTCTAGATCATAGCAGAGTTCAGAAGATTTCCTTTCGAAACGGTTTGATCAAGCATCAGGTAAAACACAAATGCAAGATAGAAACGAAGATGTAAGAATAAAAGCAGAAGTAAAAGGCATGAAACAGTGCGAGTTTGGAATTGTCCGTTGTATTTAAACATAGAAATATTCTTAAGCTATCTCACGTTTGTAATTCTTGTTTCTTTTATTTGTAAGAAAAATATGCTTTCTCATCCTGAACACCCGCAGTGACACTGGGCCTCAAGACAGTTCTTAACGTTACAAACGGAAGGACATCGGCCTGAGCAATCCTGATCAAACAGAACAAGTTGAATTTGGGGGAGGTTTGGTGGAACTATGCCCCGTGCCAAAAGGGCAAGCACATAAGCCTCTGAAGCATAGACTGGGCAATCCAAGGCAGTTCTTTTTGCAGCCGTCAGCACCGCATTGTTTTTGGCAATCTTCATCAATCTTGCAAGCTTGAGCTTCAGCTCCTAGCGTCCTTCGAAATGGTCCACCTGCGACCAAAAGTAGGGCATATTGATCTTTACAGATTCATTAAGAATGAAATAGAGAGGGATATGGACTAACTAGATGCGATGGTAAAGAAGAAAAATCAAGAAAGCCAACTTCCTTGAGGCTGCGTTCATGTCTTCCGATAACCGAAAGACCAATGGAAGATAGGCTCTAGCGCTTCAGACCCTCAGTTCACCACTCGAATTGACCAGTTGAACGTATGTAGCAGCGTACGCTAGATTTCAGTTATTATGCAAGCCTTAAATTTGGATTATAGGCTAGATTTGCCCGAGGAGTAAGTATTAAATAATTGAATGAATCTTCATGATTCGTTGAATGTCATTGACATTAAATTCATTGATATTAATGACCAGCATACACCTTTTTTGTTTTTTGGTTGAAAAAACGAGCGAACAATTGATAGGCTGGTGCCTTTAATGGCTCTAGATGGAGGCCCGTTGGCTTGATGCCGAGGACCTACTTTTTGATCTGTGCCCATTATAATCCAAGAAAAAAGGGGCATTTCTTAAAGGGGACTCTGACTCTGTACCAATTTTATTTTAAATTGGGACCAAAATATATTTTTTTACCTGAAGATCAAAACATTATGAAACTACATTGTATGATCATGATCAATAAATTGAAATTATGTGAGATATTATTTTTCACATTACTGATATGATAATAAATTCTAAAGTAAAATAAATTGTTGTGTAAATTTAAATAATATAAAAGAAACAATTTTTTAAAACAAAACATTTTTTATATTTTTAATTTGCTTGGGTTTGTATTTAAGCGCAAATACGGTTAACAAATTACGAAATAAAACAATTTTTAATTTTTTTTAATATAAGCAAGTTGTTTTTCTTATCAATCTTTCAGATATTAAAACATCTCTTGACTGATGAGTCTATTTTTTTTTTTTAAATGTTATGGTGATGATAAATAATTGGGTGATTAATTTCATCCACTGTCTGGCTCCAGTGCAATTTAATGTCGTCCCTATTAGGTTTACGACTAGGGCTAAAATATAAATTTATTTCTGAAGTTTTTGGAGGCACAATTAATATTTTAAAATATTTGAAAGCATAATTTTGCCCCGATATTTTTACTAAAGGTACAAATTTATTTTGATTGTTAAATAGCTTATTGGCACGTCATGTGAAAGTTTATGTGTGAGAAGTGAGGCCCATTTTTTATTCTTTTAATCAATTTTTTTTTCTTTTTGTTTTTTTTTTTTTTGGCTTCCTTCCTCCGTTACATTTACATGGTCCCAGTGTATGCCTGAAGCAATTGAACATACCAACAATAAAATGAACCTAGAAAAAATGAGATTTAATTTTGCTGCAAACCAAGAACAATCAAATAAACACATCAAAAATGAGATTTGATTTTGTTGCAAGCCAAGATTAATCAAATTTCGTGTTTGGCCAGTGATGTTGCTTCTCGACGACGAACTCAAGAAGCCAGAAATTTCAAACCTAATTGAGAAACTTCAAACCAGAAAGCTGCTTCACAACGAAGAACACCAGCCTGAAATCGATTTTCACTAACCGCTTGACTAGACTTCTTCGAGGTTTTCATCAATCTGAAATCAAATCTTCAGGGGCTCAACCCTGTTTTCTTGCTTCTTTTTCTTTTTTTCCGACATTTAGAAAAAAACAAAACAAGCTTAGATTCAAAATGGGAAATTTTTCCAGAAAAAACCCCAGAATCTAGAACGCGAACCTGGAGCTCATAATGACAAGCTCGAACCTGGAAGGTTGAGCGAGAATCGCATGTGAGGATGAATTCCTGAGATCGTCTTTCGCGCGATCCAGAAGCTTCTTGCGATCCTCGTAATCCCGATGGCAAGTTTGGTTTTGCATTTTTTTTTTTTTTTGACTTTAACTTGTTATCATCCCCCCCCCCAAAGGAACACCGTCGGGAACTGAGTCACATCTGATCCCTGTCCCTGTTCGTCGAAACCCATCAGAACACTTCACTTTTCTCTATCCCTCTCCCACCCTCTCTGAAACCCTCGAATTCAAAGACAACCATGACTAAGTAGAGAAGGAGGAAGAGGGAAGATGATCTTTCCGATCTCGGAGCCATGGGGGTTTCGAACGAGTTTGCGTCCTGATGTTGGACTTGCTGATCTTGAGGATGGTGATCAGACGCCCGGGTTTGTTGAGGAGTCAAAGAGTAGGGGTGAAAAATAAAGAATTTCCAGGTGAGGAAATGATTTAACCCACAAAAATGAGGTGGAAGCCAAATATACATGCCAAGTAAGTATAGTTGGTCAAATGATGGTTTAAAATTTATTAATCTGGAGTAAATTTATACAGTTTTTAAAAATATATGGGTGAATTATATTTTAAATAATTGCACTTCTAAAACAAATTTCAGGAGCGTATTTGTACTTTTAAATCTCATCATTAGGGAAAGTTATATTTGCATTCCATAATTTTTTATTTATATAGTTGAAGACTTGATTTCTTATATAATTAAATAGTTTTACATGCATTGTACAAGTTAAAATTAAATAATTTAAAATAAATATTATCAACATCATTGATATCAATGCATTTAAGATAGTTAAATTTTTTATTCAATTATTATTTTTTTCTTGAACATTTCATTTGTATACTTTTTATTTTTATTTTTTTAGTTTATGGTAAGTTATAGATAAAGTTTGAAAATGTTAAATTTTTTATGATTCCGTCATACATGATTGAGTTATGAAATTTTTTTGATAAATATCCTACATTTGAAATGATTCATTTTTTTTAAATATATTGTTAAGTTCATTCTTTAATTTCATTTTAAAAAAAAATTCTATCTTGATGTTATAAAATGTATTATTTGATGAAGCTTTATATAAAGAATTGGCTTTTAATAAAATTCAAATAAGGAGATTGGTTAGATAGCATATTTTTACAATAAATTATTTCCATAAATAATACATAACATGAAAAAAAAAATTATTCAACTTTGATATAAAATATTCTGTTTTTTTCCTCATGCAACATTCTAAATTTTTGTTTATAAACTACATTTGTCATAGATGTTAAATACCTAAATTTACAATCATGAATAAAAAGCTTGAAGCCATATTTTGACCTAACTCCAGATAAAGCAACATACAATTTGTCATAAGTAAAAATTGGTTTTGGAAAATAAACTTCTCAGTCATTCAAGCAAACAAATTTGCAAAACTAAAAGCAACGATCCCATCAATAATTAGAAACATAGACATTAACTGAAAAACAACATATTTACAAGCTTGAAATCACGCCAATGCCAATGAACTGATACACCTAATCAACAAATACCCATGCTCAATTCAATAATTGCTTTTATTTCAATTGCAATTATGTTAAAAATGTGAAAGTTGAATGAGTGTTTAATCTTGGCCTAAGTGAATTTCTGAGACATTTCAATTGCAAGAATGGCTTTGAATTAGTCCATGTGCCGCTCCAGTTCTTTCTACTTTTATGTATGAAGTCTGAGCAATAATTACGTCGCTTCACATTGTAATATTACTCCCTCCTTTGGGTTGAAAGCAAACAAAGTGAGTCATAATATTTATTACTCTATTGTAACATGAGGTATAATTTTTGTTTGAACATAAAGCTTATATAGATTGTGTATGGACCGTTTCTAGTTAATTTTAGTTTGCCTCTCTCAGGTATAATAAATTTGTTGACCCCTTGAAGATTTAAGCCCTAATGAAGTGTGAAATTGATACATGACAAAGCTCTAATTATATATAGACTTGATCATAACTTATCTAACTGCTAAAGATTAAAATTTTATGATGAAATGGAGAGATATATATATATATATATATATTACACCGTAAAAGAATAATCGTACATGCCATCATACATGATGGATAATACAATGAAAAAGAATGAAAGAATTTAAGCCGAATTAGAGGAATTCAAGGGAAGCCAATGAAAAAGACTATATCATTTCATCACATAAGTACCTGACAATATCAAAATCTAAAAACTAACAGATTTTCCCAAATAAGTAGAGAAGATTTCTCTTGCCTTGTATGTCCCATCTAAAAAGTCTCTTTATCAAAGGAAACTGGGCTGTTCTTGCTTATTCTAACAACATCACAAGAAACAAATCCTACTATTTATATGTGCAAAAGATTGAGAACTTGGATAACAAACTCACCAAGTAACCCCTAAAAGCAACTTGGATTTTGATGGCTACAGAATTTTCATTCACTGATAAAGCATTCTTCTTCTTCTTCTTCACCACCACCTGCCATTGTTGTTTCTTTAAATGAAGCATAAATTGGAGTTAATTTCTAAATCTTTAGCTTACCATATGTCCGTTCCCTTCTCTTCTTCTTTTGGTTAAAAAACAAAAGATACTATCACTTCATAACATAAATACATAAAGCAAGATAAAACATAAATATTTGAGTACTTACTTAAAGAAACCACCCCTAACATTGCAAGCAACATTTCTTGCAACACAAGACAGGGACAACATTACTTGCCTACAAAACACAAATAAGTTAGATGAGTTTAGGTAAAAAGGAAAAACAAAAGAATATTCATTGCCATTAAATATCCGAATAAAGATGAGGCAATTTACTTTAACTTAAGGTGCATCGTATGGAGCAAATGTAGGGACAACTTGCACATGAGGAAAAAAAAATTAAAGTTGTTTCTTTAGGCGAAGCAGAAGTTAGAGTTAATCTCTTAATCTTTAGCCTGCCATATATCCATTCCCTTCTCTTCTTTTTCTAGTTAAAAATAGAAGATCGTATCATTTCTTAACATAAAGATAAAAATTTGAGTTCTTACTTAAAGAAACCACCCCCAACATTGCAAACAACATTTCTTGCAACACATAAGACAGGGACAGCATTGCTTGCCTACAAAACACAAATAGGTTAGATGAGTTTAGGTTAAAAAAGAAAACAAAAGAATATCATTGCCATTAAATATCCAAATAATGATGAGCCAATTTACTTCAACTCGAGGTGTATTATATGGGGCAAGTGTAGGGATAACATGCACACGAGGAAAAGAAATTAGAGTTGTTTCTTTGGATGAAGTAAAAGTTGGAGTTTATCTCTTAATCTTTAGCCTACCATATATCCATTCCCTTCTCTTCTTCTTTTAGTTAAAAAAGAAAAGATCGTATCACTTCATAATACAAATTACATAACTATATCAAAATCTAAACAATAACAAATTTTCCCGAAGAAGCAAAGAAGATTTTCCCACTTAGGGACGAAAATAAGTGAATCTATATAATTTATTTTCCTTCTTTTAGACAAGCCAGATAAAACATAAAGATTTGAATTCTTACTTAAAGAAACCACCCTTAACATTGTAAGCAACATTTCTTGCAACATATGAAATAGGGACAACATTGCTTGCCAACAAACACTAATATGTTAAATAAGTCTAGGTTAAAAAAGAAAATAGAAGAATATCATTGCCATTAAATATTTAAATAAAGATGAGCTAATTTACTTCAGCTCGAGGTGCATAGTATGGGAGCAAATGCATGGACAATATGCACACGAGGTTGATCTTTCTCCTCCCACACTTTCAAGCGATCATCAATTACCAATGCCATTCTGGGATGGCAAAAGTGTAACACCCTCAAATTTACAAACCGATTTTTTGCAAATTATTAATTCAACAACTCATTTTTTTTTTATTTTTTTTTATTGAACCCTTATCATGGTAGAAAAATTTCTACCATGATACATCGAAGACAATATACCACAAGTTTTAAAATATCTCAAAAAGCAATTAGAACTATGAGGGACAGACATGATCCTCATAGCATGTTATTCAAATCAGATCATAAATCAAGAGGGACAGACATAATCCTCTTGGTCATATAAATACTTTTAATAAAAAGGATTAGAGTTTACATGCTTCACAAAGAAGATATGTCCTAAGTTGGCACAAGATACATTGTATAATCTAAAATAAGAGGCAACGTAAAAGATGGTGTCTCATACACCACAGTTGCACCACTGGTGCTTTCTCGGCCGGACTCACTCCTGTAAAAATATTAATCACAGGGAATGAGACTTAAAAGTCCCAGTAACCAAAAATTAATATGTAATGATGCATGCGGATGTAACTAATCATGCGATTGCTAAGTGGGCACACAAAACATTTAACCGAACAATACTTTCAAACAAACCGAACAATATTTAATTGTATGACTACACCTTATATCCTCTTTTCACCATGCTCGGACGCCAAATTATCTGGTCAAAGGTGAGTTGGACCAAGCGACACGCCACTCATTGGGTCCAATGAGGGCTTACCACGTGGTAATAATTAACCGAACAGAAATTTCCATTAACACCATATATTAAAATACCCTGACAAGTCATGCATCATTCAAATATCCAAACAAAAATATATCCGAATAATAATATCTCATCATGATAAACAAAAATAAATTTTTAACCCACTTGGCAATGATTTCACAGAAGTATATAACAGTATTTATTTTCAATAATTCATAATTTTTCCAAACAATAAAACAACACATAACCATTCACAAACACACTATCACAACACATTAATAATGGTTACCTTGTGTTTTGAATAACAAGTTTCCCTTCACAACTCCTTTTTCACCACTATCTTTGTCAATATAATCTACATAATTATTTCACAATACTATATATTAATTTTACATTAAAATAAATAACTCTAATTTAAAGAGTTAGAAAGTCTTAGATCTATAATCCATATTAATACTAATTTAAGATTTATGCCTCATTTAACTTCCCAAATTCTTTTCTAAAATTCTCGTACCCTAATAAACTATTTTTTTATCCTCAATTCACTTCTAGTATCACAATTTCATCCTTCTATATTCTAAAAATTCGTCCAAAAATAAATTAAAAATTTTAGAATTATCCTAAAGCCTCAAATCACCTTTCTATAACCTCAAAAATACCTATTCATACTTAAATAAATATTTAATAATCATAGGTTTATCCCTACATCTCAGATTCCACATAAATTCAACCATATAGATCTAGATTTTAACTCAAAAATTCTTAAACATGAGTTTCAACCTCAAAAAAAATATTCTATAATATTTATTATATCCCTAAGAGTTTTAACCTATATTTTTAATCTATCATATCATCAGATTAACTATCCTATAGAAAAATCTTAATCAGAATATTTACTCTATCCTACAAAATAATCATATCACTAGAAAGCTAATATTATTTAGAAAATAACTATAAAATTAATTTTTTAATTAAATATATTTTTAAATGCTAATCTAAACAGGAAAGTTAGAACATACCTGAAAAAAAAGAAAATAATCCCCCCTTGCAAGAAGACGCCGAGCAACGTGAGAGGAAGAGAGAAAAATAATATAAAAATAGGATTGTGGGTCCCAAAATTATATTAAAAAAAACTATAGGTTTGAATTTAATTATTCAAACCTTTGGGCCATTACTTGCAATTTTCACAAATTACATCTTAGGCCCTTAATTGCAATTTTCACAAATTGCAATAAATAATTCCTTATGCTTCCTCCACAATGCACCTCCTCTTTTTATACATGAGGAGGTGCCTTTCATTCTCACATCTAATCGATGTGGGACTAAACCCCCTCCCCCCCCCCCCTTTTTTTTTTACTTTTTTTCTTTTCTTTTCTTTTTAACTCTCACACACACATTAATAATAATTTTTTTTAAAATCTTAAAATTATATCTTAACAAAATATTTCTTATATAATTTTAAACTTAAGTTTTTAATTCATAATTAAATGCCTACCCATATTATTATTTTCAAATAACCTCAAATAATATAAATTCCTATTATTATCATCATTTTTTAAAAAAAACTTAAATTTTATAAATTTTTTTATCTAAAAATTAGGATGTTACAAAAAGCCATCTTGAAAAACATTGAACAGTGACTTCTTCCAACTTATTAAAATATTTTTTGACCAAAAAAACCTATTGAAATATATTCAAACACTAAAGAAGCATTAAAACAAATGAAATGGTGCCAACGAAAACAAACAGTCTGCACATTTGGGTGTAGGCAAATCATATAACAATATCTCTAACATATTCAAATGTATAGAATCTCATTTAAAAAGTAAAATGAATAAATTGAAAGTACATGCTACTTACCAGATCAAGTTGGTAACTTTTTCTAGATGCATAGGTGAAGTTGATAACTTTTTCTTCCCAATATGAAAATGAATACCACGCGTTGTGCATTAAGATAGAAGAATGATTAATATGAGTTCTAACACCAATTCCCATAACTTGATTACCATTGCCACTATTTAAATTAACATAAAGCAAATTGTGAAATTTAAAAAAAGAATGATGAATTCAGAATGAGATAGAAAAAGTGGTAGAGTAGTACCCGAGCCTAACAATGTTAGAGATCAGTGTCATTAAAACTCGAGATGACCTTGGCAACATAGTAGATATACATGTGTTGGGAACAAAAACTCCCTCTCTCTTTAGGTATTGGAAATGCAAATATTACCGCTTCGGTGTTGTAATTTATTAATGCTCCCATGGAAAGAAGAAAGAACACAAAAATAAATAAAAATGAAATAATAAACTAAGTCTGGTCAACCAACCTAAAACAATGGAGATATGATTAAGACCAAGCACAACAGAGACCCCACTATTGGACGAAATCAATTTGGTTTTACAATGAAGGAGGTTTTGTCTTGATGCGGTCAGCAAATGCCCTTATAAGAGAATTTTTTGTGCTGATAGAGAAAATGAAGGAAATAGAAAGAGATGATCACACTCTCACCATTACAAATAGTGGCTTTCCCTAGAGGAAGAAAGAGAGTTTGAAGAAAACCAATGATGATGATGATGATAGTAAGCACATTGATGAAGCTGATGATGACAGAAGACATGAGAGAAGTGTTGCTGTTGAATCTGATAGAGTTGAAGAGAACTGGCGGGTAGAAACTTGATAGCATTGATGCCCATGAGTTGTTGGAAGAAAAAATCGTGATGGACATGGCAAGCTTAGGTTTGCACTTGATTCTTCCATGGGATTGAGAATGCGATAAACTAATCCCAACACCATTTTCCACGCTTATTTAAAGAGGATTAATTTAAATATTGAATTTTAAGAAGAGAGTTTTGAGAAATACAGTGGCTATATGCATCAGAAGCAGAGGTGTACTCTCTCATCATTAGTATTGCTGGACTTGAGAATATACATTGAAAAAATGTTTAATAAATGGGAATTTAAAAAAAGAAAATCTGACCAATAGAAACACTTCTATCAAAATGGGAAGAGATAGTAGAATACATTTCATGCAATGAAGACATTAGACTTAAAACAATTGACTAATGAGAAGACAATAAACATTATAATAAAATTGAACCACCAATCAAAGTCCATCATTTTCTGCCCAATCAGAAAGTTCTACGAGTTTGGTTAAGGTATATTGATGATGGTGATTGATTATAAGAAAAAAAATATCCATAAATAAAGTCACTCTTTGATTTTTTTCCCCTTTTAACCTGAAATCTTATATCCAACTCAATTAACCCCGTGCATTGTGGTAAAAAAGTTCAATAAAAGTAAAGGGAGGGGGCAACGTCCATTCGAAGAGGTTCTTCAGCAAATCATAGCCTTTTAAATTCACAATTTGACATCAATTAAAGAGATAAAGTATAGTGATTGTTGAAAAAAAATGCTCATGATAATAACATTAACTTGTCTAGAATCTAGAAGAGCTGCCTATAGCAATCACTGTACTTGATCAATTTGTAACTTTTTCCTTAAAAGAATTCGAATTATGTTGGCCTAAAAAAAATTGAATTAGAAGTTGGAAATCGAAAGTTAAAACTTAAGGGGGCAAAGCTTGAAATTAAATAGCATTTATTATTTACATTTTATTACAAGCAGAAGCTCCTTCATTAGGTGGATAGTCAAAAGTCAAAGCCACAATTTCCACACACAAGCAAGAAATCAAACATTGAGAAACTCGACACTGGAAAATAACTTAAGGGTAGCTTTCAGCTGCAGGAACTGGAGCATATGAACTAATAAAAACATCGCCATAAACCAACCCAGCCAAGCCGCCACCGACCAATGGGCCAACCCAATAAATCCAGTTGTCTAAGAAGTTCCCGCTTACCACGGCTGGGCCAAATGAACGAGCTGGGTTCATTGAACCGCCACTAAATGGACCAGCAGCTAAGATGTTGGCGCCCACAATGAACCCAATTGCAATGGGTGCAATGATCCCAAGAGAACCCTTCTTAGGGTCAGCTGCTGTGGCATACACAGTGTAAACCAATGCAAAAGTAATGATAATCTCAAACACTACACCTTGGCCTGCACCCACACCTGCTGCCAATCCATGGGTTGGAATGCTCTGCCAAACAGATTCAAAACCCATGTTACCTTGTATTAAAAGTTGTAAAAAATTCGCTATTGATATCTATATTTTAGTGTCTTCTATTAATTTTTATAATTTTTTTCATTGCGTCTAGTTCTTTAAAGTTAATCTTTTCACACAAGTCCTTATTGTTTTAACTTTTAAATAACACAAGGACTATTAACGAAGTTGACTCTACTAATATATGCCTAATTCTATTGGAGGAAAACAAAAAAAAAATTTAAAATATGGTATTCACAAATATTTTTTTTTATATGTATTCTCCTATTAGAGATAATGTTAGACACTAAATATGAATACTTTTTTCAGTGGATACCAAACCTTAAGTCACCCGGGATGAATCAATAAAACCAAAGTATGATGGGGCAAAAATTGAAAACTATTTGAAATGTAGGGCGGCCAATACTAATTTTTACAAGTGAAAAAAATTAAAAAAAAATTCAAGGGACCAATGAAATTGTGGGGGGAGAGAGGGCGAGCACCCCTACATACATCTCTCGAGTCACCATATTGTGAAGGTATGAAGAACTAATTTTTTTTATTAGATTCGATCTATATTAGTTACAGTATTCACAAAAGTGGGTATGGGTTCTAATTTATTCAGATGATATTGAAGTCCTTGCAAAAAGACAACTCAAAGCTTGCCCAATCCAATAATGTCATTTGAATTTGGCAGAGTTATATATAAATCCCTAATAATTTTAAATTTGTACTGTTCAAAATATATTTAAATAATCAATCTATAAAAATAATAAAAATTTTAATAGTAAATGTGAATAATTCATATTAAATCCGGATTGGCAAGCAAAATTTATATAATTTTTCTAATTAATCAATGCAAAATAAAAAGAATAAAAAACATTAAATTTGCACTGTTGAGACATGCACGAAGTGCGGAGGATTCGGAAGAAGCCGACTCCTCATACTTCGCTCATTTCAACGCCTCTAAATTATTTATATTTACCTTTCCACCGGTAACAAATTTGAGGAGGAGACATGCGACGATGGAGCCAAGCAATTGGGAAATCCAGTACAAGAAGCCTGTTAAGATGGTGATGTTGCCTCCAATTGCCAGCCCAAAAGTAACCGCCGGGTTCAAATGTCCGCCTGAGATGTTGGCTGCCACCGCTACGCCAACAAACAAGGCAAACGCATGTGCCACCGCCACCGCCACCAGTCCCGGCGCATCCAAGGCTGCATCAGCCGTAAGTTCACCTGCATACCAATTTCAACTTAACCGTTAACTGCCAATTGCCAAACGACTTAAATATCCATGCATGATGCATCGTTCACAAATCTTAATTTTCGAACTTCAGAATATTCGCGAACTTTAGCACTTACCGTAAGCGATGGCTGATCCAACACCAGCAAATACGAAAAGAAGAGTAGCGATGAACTCTGCCACATAAGCTTTGATGGAATTAACGCTAAAAGAGTCAGTAAAGCTACCAATATCTATCTTCACCATTTTCAATCCCTTGAAGCGAAGGAGCCCAGGCTAGCTAATTAATGTTCTGAACCTATTAGTGCGGATGCTTATATCAGAACAATATGCCATGCTTTACATATACACGCGCACACAACTAAAAAGCGCCATTGCCGGCTTGGCTGGCACCGCTCAGGGGCCACATGAGTGGTTGGATGACGCAAGATTGAAGTCGACCAAACCACGCTCCTCCTTCTCTTTCTTGCTCGTATCAAAAAGCTTCTGGGATCAGTTCGGTATTTAATATTCATCATGAGCACGATGACAGTTTGTAAAACCAACAAGAAACGTATAAAATACTGGGTGGATAAGCATGTTCGCGCAGAATATTATCAAAGTAAACTTCATCGACTTCGAAGAAAACATAGTAAACGTTAGATATCACTTTCCTCGACTGACAGAAAACTTAAATTTAGTCATGATGATAGCAATGGGTTGGCAATAACTATGATTGTGGATTATTATAACTCCACAATATGACAAATTAAGATCGATGAGGAACAAGTCTCTTCTCATCTTCTCCGTAGGTATATATTCTCTACCTAATAATTCTGGCCACATGAATATTATCAAATAGAGCCATGTATTAAAATACAACCTGGTTAGGCTGGAAGTCTCGTTCCATAGGAATTGTTTAGTTCCAGGATTGTTGAAAACAAGTTACACGAATGGTTGGACGGTTCATAGTTGAACAGTTCAAGTGATGTTTCTTTATCCTTTCTTTCTCCACTAAGTGCAAAATAAAAATAAAAAACAAAAAATTCTGAGCAGAAGCTTCTAGGGCGATGATCAAATAATGCTTTATCTGGTGGATTTTCTGTGCGCATTATGGTAAATCAAGTTTGTTTTGTAAACAACCAGATTTAACTACTACTTTGTTATCATGTATCCATTCGGAGAGACTATATATGAACGCTGGAAATTAAGAAGTTGAGGTATTGATGATCTTGCTAAAAATTTCCTTGGACACAAGAGAAGTTAAGAATTGCTCAACACATATTGCCTATTTCAAATTTAATCAGATAATTAATATTGGCATGCAAGAGTAATTTAACCAGATTTGAAAATTTTGATGCCGTTAGGTTATTCTAGACATCTGATCAGAGTTCAAACCATATTTCTGGACTCGCATTGGCCAAAAAAAAAAAACAAAACTTGTTTCTGGCATGAGATAATGAGATGAAAATAAGAAAAGAGTACTGTATATACGTATATGAGATTTGACTAGAGTTGAAAAAATGAGTTGGCCCGACTTTGTAGGGCTGGCTTGTTTAAGCCTGAGCTCTCTTTATGACCATGAAATGCAAAATTCGGTCCTCAACATAGTGGGTTCAAGACTGACCCTACAGGCTTCAGGCTCTTTTAACTATTTTTTTTTTCAAACAAAAAATCACTTCATTTCAATATAATACCCAATTAAGAAAATAATGAGAAAACTAACTATACAATATTAAAATGAACTAAAAACACAAATGAAATGATAACAAAGCACCAAACAATGGATCAACTAAATCAACAAATATCCAATTTAAATAAGATGAGATTAAGGGAATGAGATATGAGATTAGGAGATCTAGATAAATTAGGAGATTTAGAGTTGCATTTTTTTTTTTGGCCTCCCTTCTTCAACAAATATGGGCTCACATGTGATTTAAAGTAAGATTTAATTTAATTTTTTTTAAATTCAAAAAGAATCAAAGTTATGAAAATTGAAAAAAAAAAAAATACATTTGAGTTTAAACAGGCCAGCCCTCAGCCGTTAAAGGCCAGCCTATATAAGTCCAATTTACCATTTTAGTATCTTATTTACAAGCTTAGCCTTATTGTTATACAAGTTTAAATAAATTCAGTCTGTTTTTTCAGCTCTAGATTTGAGGTAAACTAATAGTGTGATTTGCACTAGATCAAGGTGCTTTTAATTTCTTCAAACGATCCAACTCCTCAGTCATGAATCCTGTTTTGGCTAACTATTGACCAGAATGTGGCCTTGCACATGCTTTCCTTAACTGCTTCTCAACCTACTTTATTGATCTATTCGTAAAATTAATAAAATTATTAAATGGAATTGTTCTTCACCAGAGATTAATTCAGGGTCTTCAATTTCACCGTACGAGCATTATAATTATTGCTTGAAATTGATGACACACAGTTGAGTTTCTGACTCAGTATTCCATTTTGAGTGTCCCACTATTCAACCTGTCTTAAATATGATGAGAATAATTTCAAAATGTAGCTTTGCGGTTGTGAAGATTGAATCAGGAAAACTGGGCAGAAATGTCCAAGTTTCTAGATGTGATGGAATCTGCAGTGACATCAAATTCATCAAGCGACGCAGTGAAAAAATTTTTAAACCAAAATCAGAACTGAATTGTCAAATTCAGTAACATGGTTGCAAAACTTAGACTCAATGGAAACAGCCTCTACCTTTATCCATTTCTAATCCTACCAAACGCGGTTTTCTAATTTCATGTCTATCTAGCCATGGCCTGCAATTTCAACGCAGTATTCGTTTCAGTTTAATTGTAACGCGCAACGCGGTACATTGGTACGTACTGTGACTGGGAACATTAAAGAAATGAAATCAAGCCTCATAAGATATTAATAATCAATAGACCCTCTGGTTTGGGGAGAGACACCTCGATATAGTCAAATTTTGGCGCATTGTTCAATCAGAAAACAATTTAGGTGCGTGTTGAGAGTTTACATGCCATGAAAGAAGCAAGAAAAAACACGTTCATGGCATTCAAGCCCGATTTTGAAAGGTAAAAAGGAGTTTTCATTTTGATAGGCAAGTAAAACTAGAGACGTTAAACAATAACTCATTACTTTTTTAATAAATAGCTATCTATTTAAATTAGATTGGAGAATTATTAGACTCAAGTGAGAATAACTTTTTCAAAAGTGTCTTTTGTATTTATACGAATTCAAATCCAAAACCTGGTGCTTAAAGTATACCGGTAATAATTTTTTTACTGTGATTAATGCCTGCAAATAATATTACACTATTATTTTGTACGAAATTTCACACTTTGAAGAGTAAAAGGAATCTTCCCTCGTCTGAGGCTTCAGAACATCTAAACATGCCTGTACTTGTTGAAAACTCTAAAGTTTGGAAACTTCAAGATGAAACCAAACATAGTCTGAATCATTTTCTCCCTTATATTTCAATTACTGTCACAACTATCACACATGTTACGACAGGATCAAGTGCCAAGAATCGATGATCGAGATCCCATTATGAATGCTACATTTGCATTGTGGAGAAGGAGACGACCGCGCTCAACTTATCATCCACGTATATTGTTGTATTCCAGTGTACATGGTCCATTAATTATCACGCAGAAAAAGTTTAATGGGTTTCATGATAAATGCTAAAACGATTTTCCTATAATACAGGTATATAAAATCTTAACTTCTGTAAAGTTGATTAATTCAGTGTTCTTTTTACAGTGTTTTTCACTATTTTTTCTACAGTAAAATGTACTAAAACAATTTTATTGTCTTGTCGTTTCCTGTCAAAAGAAATAAGCCTTTATTATTTTTATTTTTTATTTTGTGACGTTCAAGATACATTTTTCTGCATATTTTTTTACTGTTGAAAATGCATCTTTCAAAATGTTTAAGGGTTCCACAAGAAAAAGAAATTATCAAATTACATTTTCTCTAAAATTTGCAATTAAAAAAGTGCGAATACCAATTTAAGAAAGTCAAAGTTTAAGAATAAGTTTTAGAGGGAATTACTTTAAAATCCTTACAACATATTTAAACACCAAAAGTTTTATGGACGACTTAATTAATAGAGAAAACTGACAATTAAAATTGTTATAATTTTTCTTTGTTAAATTTTTAATAGACCTTGTAGTATTTAAATATAATATGAGAGACTTGTGTATAATTCACTCTGAGTTTTATTATTGAATTATTATTTTTATCAAAATATTTTATAAAATGAAACGAAAAGCATAGAAGTTATCAAACTGATATAATCCAAGAATAAACCTTGTGCAACGCACGTGGTCTTTATCTAGTCAACATGTATGAGCAAAAAATAAAATACGAAACAAATTTTTATTGAATTATAATATATCTACATGTAATCTAATTCGTTACATGTTTATATTAGTATATTGATGATAATATTGGTAATTAATAATTATGATATGATTGTAATTAAAAATATATTCTTCTGGTCCTCTTTATAAGTCATTTCTATTATTTTCATTAATATTAAAATAAAAAAAAGTATAGAAAATAAAAGTGGGTATAATTTTAAATATGTCTTTATATTAAATTTAAAAAATAATATTATGTTACTTTTTTCTCTCATGAAGGATAATTTTAAAAATATTTTTTAAATATTATTTAAAAAACTACACCGTGACTTCTAAATAAAATCAAATAAATTTTTTAAAATGTAATTTATAAATAAAATCGAAAAGAATATTTTAGCTAATAACATAGCAATCCCTCTTGTGCTTAGTTATGACAGGCGCTGAAAAATTCTGTTGGTACTAAATATAAAACATTTGACTGAATATTAATTACATTTTTTAATGTTATTTATATTTAAATTCATTAACATTAAAGGAAAATGTAATGTGAATTGAAAAAAATTTCATTTATACGAAGATGAAATTAGAAGTTTATTTTATTTTTAAATAAAATTAATAACTTAATCAATAAATTAGTTTTAATTGGAACGGATGGGAGTATATAAGCTTTCATTTTTGCATAAATAAATCGAAAAAAAATGAAAAATGAAAATCTCGCAAGCACTCGTTTTGGCGGGTGAATGAAACAAGGTCGGCCGGAGGTGAACCTCTTCGTTTTAAACTCAAATAGAACGTACTGCTCAGCCTATGTTGTGAGGGTGAGGGTGAGGGTGAGAAAGAGACTCAGAGTGGGGGGCTGATTAGGAGATGAATTAATTCCAAGCATTGAATGTTCTCAACAACCCAAATTGATCGAATTGAATTGCGGGCAGACCAGCTATCTTGTCCGGTTTTCGTAGTTTTTGGGTAACCACTGCTATTTACCTCACATTCTTCTGTTGCAAAATTATTCCATTTTTTTCTTTCATTTTTCTTCTTATCATATTATATTCGATTCTTCCAGTTAAAGCCTCCTTATTCACTAAATCGATGCTCATTCTCACTCCTGCTTTCCATTTCATGATAGATAGATTCTA